AAGTTGTCCCGTAGACCACAAGACGCGCGACGCATGGCTACAACAAGCCGCCCGAGCAGCTCCCCCACCTCCTCCGTTCTCCCAACAACAACCACAACCACAACCTCAATCACCATCACCGACCTCGTCCTCATGGACATCCTACCTCCCACGCATACCATTCTTCTCCTCTTCCTCTCCCTCCTCCTCGCCCGCACATCCCCAACAAGCCACATCACCATCAAACCACCCCTCCCTAGACACATCCCGAGAAATCTCCACGATACCCCGGTCCTCGAAGCCCCTCGACGCCGAGGCCGCGCGCCCCGCCAACACAGAGCAGGAGACCGGCGCAGACGCCACGTCGGGGAACTGGGTGTATCCCTCGGAGCGCATGTTCTTCGAGGCCATGAAGCGCAAGGGCCACGACCCGCAGGCCGCGGATATGCGCGCCGTGGTGCCCATTCACAACGCGGTCAACGAGCGCGCCTGGGCCGAGATCAAGGCTTGGGAGGAACCGTACGTGAGGGGCTCTACGTATGTTGTCTTGTGACTTACATCCCCGACCCGAGAACTACGTAATACTGATATTTGGTGTGGAATATAGCTGCGGCGGTCCACGGTTACACTCTTTCTCCGGTCTAAGCACCCAGATGTCCCCTCGGGCCCGCATAAATACCCTACTAGGCTACCAGGCCCCCTTCGATCGACACGACTGGGTTGTGGATAGATGTGGGAAGGAGATTGAGTATATTATCGATTTCTACGCCGGGCGAAATAGCAAGACTAGCGATGGAAGATTGTCCTTCTATCTAGATGTGCGGCCCAAACTGAACTCTTGGGAAGGTGTCAAGATGCGAGCTATGCGAGCTGCTGGCCTGTCGTAGAGGGAAATATTGTGAGTGTTACCTGTATAGATACTAATGTATTATAAGATACGGGTGAAGAATCATCGTATAAGTATGATAGCATGGCGCCCAGGTTAGTTATAGAAAGGATCGCCATTCACACACAATACTTACATGCACCATACCATATTGAGTGAAGACTCGATTTTTATGTAGGCTTCTTACTTGTAATAAGTACTCGAGCCTGAAAAAAAACGCATATTGGGGGTATCATCCGGTTTCCATCCGATTGTTCATAAACTTCCGAAGACCCCATTATCAAAGAAAAAGAAATCCGATACGCAGCCCTCACTCCATAATCCCTCGACTAAGCCGATTTATTCTCATCGCCCATAACGATCCGGACGGAAGGACCCGTCTCCATAGCATTTGTTTGGAGGTCCCAACCAGCAGCCTTAAGGCTCTTCCAGAATGTGCTGTCTGCTGGCCAGTGTGATCCCGTATGAGCCTCGACCCACGCTTCTAAAGCAGCCATTGTAGGGGTACCCTGTTTCAAGAAGATCTTTTGACCTGTGGGCTGCTGAACAATGACATAGCCACGGTTTCGGTACTTCTGATTCTTGAAGTGGCTGATCTCGCGAAGCCGGGGGAATGTCGTGGCGAATGTGATGCGTGGACCGACCCAAGTAAGAATTCGCTCTTTTTCTGCAACCTGATCGGGACGGAGAATGGCACCGCGAGGGCTAGATGCCTCCTCCAGTATGATCGTGAGTCGCTGTCTGTTCAGGGTGCGCATCTGTACAGAGCAAACAGCCTGGTAGTTGGTCCAGAGGTGGACACCGACAAGAACAATCATCGAAACCACCACCGCCATCTTTCCGTGCACAAAATGCACAAACAAGCTGCCGACTAGCATGCCCAGGAGTGAGATTACGGTCTCTTGACTTCCATCCTTAGCATTGAGCTCGGCAAGATTCCCGTTCTTGGCAAAGTGAGCGCTAAGAGAAGCTTTAGCAGCGCCGCCCGAGATTCCGCAAAGCGCACGAAGGACACCGGCCCCACATAGTGCAAGGATCTTAGGATATGTAGGTAGAGCTGGAGACAGTATATCAAGAAAAAAAGCTGAATCATTGACGATATCAGCGAGGAAGCGGTAGTATTTGCACTCTGGCTCTATAGCCTGACCATGACGGTGCGCGAAGAAGATTGTAGCAAGCCTGCCAGTTGACTCTTGCACCACAGTAAGAAGTACAGCTGCGGTTGCTGAAGAAGTGGAATCTCCGACCCCGAAACCCTGGAGCACGGCCCGGGATGAGAGGAGGCTGGCAATTGTGCTAGAAAAAGCCTGAAGGGAGTCCTGCAGCAAATATTAGTAAACAGGTAGACATGCTAGTGAAGATATGTATGAATTGCGCAATCGGGAAGCAGGAAAACATACGTAAATCTGGTAAGGAGTGTAGTCAGGCGTCACGGTATGGGGGTAACCGGCTGGGAGAAAGACGTCCAACACATCTTTACCAATGCTTCTCAAGGTCTTCTTTGGAATGATGGGGTTGCTAGCCTCATCGTAGGTGCAGATGACCTCTGACTCATTCAAGGCTTTGATGATCTTAGGAGGCGCCATTGTGTTGGAGTTGCCGCGCGTCACAATGTGTTGCAGGAGAAGAAAGCGGAAGGTTTATGACGATTTGTGCAAAAAGAAGTCGTTTTAGTTTGGAGGGAAACATTAACTAGAAGCACGGATAGAAATAAGGCATATAGCCTGCATAATCACCCCGCAATCATCCCTCAATCGTCCCGCAGTTACCTATCTCACACAACCAACTGTAAAATACCAGCTGGGAAAGCGTTACTAAGGAGTTTGCTTTTGTATTGTACCTGCGTTAGGTAACTCATAAGGTACATAGGTTCCATGCTAGTGGGGTTTGAGCCTCAGCGTCATAGTGCAGATCATAAGGCTAAGTACCCAAGTACCCAATCCACACCAGTACCTAGGTAATCTTACCTATGTACCTAAGGTACCTATCCTTCATCAACTTACGTTTAATAAAGTATCTGCAAATAACGTTAGTGTCTGCCATCTTATATTAAGCACTCACTTCCTATGGAGTAACCTTCTCTAAGAGTCTAAATCATGGACGAACTACGTAAAATGTTAGAATAACCCTCCTAAAAATAGTCCCTAGGTATTCCTACTTTAAATGCTACTATATATATATATATTACCATATCATGTTCAAATCCAAGGCTGTTGTGTGTGTTCAACATCTATAACAGCAAGACCATTGTTTGTAAATATATGCTCATCGAAAAGGTTAAGGAACAAACAACCCTATCCACTACCAATATAAATAAGCGATTTTCCTGAAGCTAACAAGTTTAGCCAGCTAAACAAACAGCTCAGTAAGCTTTAGCATCAATTACTGGATCGAAATGGAAGAATCCAACAATCAGAATTCTACGCTGCTTAATCTGCCTGCTGAGATCAGGCAAATAATTTACGGATTTGTGCTCCAGAAAGACAGACCTATTATGATATGTGGCAGACGGGAAAGATTCAGGATCCATCCTGATATGGATTCTGAATTATTCCATTTCCCAGAGGAAGCCTGCTTTTATCATAAACATGATATTGAGCATAAGATATCCAGAGCGGTTAGAAAAATACCAGCCGCAAACTCAACAAGCAAGGTTTTGCACACTTCTCTACTACAAGTATGCAAGAGAATCAACGAAGAAGCAACCCCGTTACTTTATTCCCGGAACATGATAGTCGTCAGTGGCAATTGCCTACATAGTGACCCCCACTGGCCAGAAAATTCCGATAATACCAACCATCTAAAAAGATTAACCATTTGGGTTAAACCAGAGTTCCTGGCCGAACCCCAGCTATGGCTACATGCCACTGAACTGATTATTTTTGCAGAAAAGTCTATCGAGCGAGTTACTGTGCTCTTTCAAGCAGATGTATACGATATTGACGGGGATAAATACAACCAAGCTCTCAATGACCTTAAGAAGTATATTTCCTGGTTTCGCAACAATGAGAAGCATTCAATAGATGTTGGCTTCTACCCGTCATTGAGAGATGCATTCCACGCCCTCTCGGGTTCTTATAAATAAAACAACTTGAAAATATATCCATTCTCTTGAATGAGAATAAATTAGTATGAACTGCATACAAAAGGGTTATTCTTATTTCCATTTGAGAACCAAGAAGAAAAAAAGAAAAGGGGAGCGGAGTTTGGCCGGGGAGTGAGGTACAAAAGGACTAAAAATTACAAAATTGCTGTAGAAGATATCTTGAACCCATACTCTGTCGAATAACCACAGGGGTTGTTTGTAGCTAGGTAGTTAGACATATTAGTTACACACAACTTTTTGGTTTGCAGTTATAATAGCCATTGGAACCCAACAAATAGTAACACAACCTGCATTATCAAAGGGCTAGTTATGTTTAATAATACAATACTACCCCTTTATCACTTAGCCCTTTCATGTTAGAAGATAGAAACTGTCAGATTTAGTACCCTTGATGAAAGTTAAGATAGTTGAATTGAACCATTAACGCCTGTCATTTTATCCTCCTTTGAGAGCATTGCACGTCTCATATGTACCAAATCCTAGTAGATCCACCCCTGAATCTACCCCTATCTCACTCATACTCTAAAAGAAATGCCCACTTGACATGAGATAATTGCTTATACCATAAAGAAGACTGAACAAATATGTAGGGCTAAATGAATTTCATAGATTACGTCGATCAAAGTTTATGGCTGACGTTATTGTTCATGCAACAAAATAAATCTCTCTGGGTAAAAAGGGGGAGAAAGCTTTATAGGTTAAATTAAACATCTATCTTACCAACATATAAAGAAGATGATTCTTCTATGGTTCAATTACCGGTAAGCCTAAAACTAAACCGCATAACAGTTATAAAGTCTTTAACCTTCACATTAGACCACAAAGCATGATTCCGCACCAACAATCTCTAGGATTTAATCTAGTGGAGGCTAATATTGGGTTAAGCCCGGACTAGAAGCGCCAGTGCCTGCATTAGAACTAGGTAGGTTAGATAGGTTTCTGGACCAGTTTTGTCACGTGTGTACCCTACATGTATATCAAGATTAGATCCTTCCCCATATAACTTAGACAATACATCATCAGTCTCGACTTCATAACCGATCAGGACCGTTATTTCCTTTTGGTGGTGGCATATGTTACGTGTGTACCCTACATGTATATTAAGACTAGATCCTCCCCCATACAACTTGGACAATGCAACATCAATAATACCATATTGTGATAAGTCTTCTCCCCAAGAAGTATAGCTTTCCCAGCAGCTCCGCTACTTTCGCTTAAATACTTAGCAATCCACTCCAGTAGCTTCACCTTGTTTCTAATTTTCAGTCAAGGAGGTAGAGATCCGTTCCTGGTCCACCAAAATCACCTGCAAGCACAATGTCTGGCACGGAGAACTGGAAAGACTTGTCCAGCTGGAGGACCCGGGACCCAGTCACATCAACAGCCAAAAGCCCATCCCAGCCTCGTGATTCCCGTCAGAACCTACTAGGAGCACAATCCTGGAGAACTAGAGAAGTCACCAACAATGCAGGGCCCCAGAGTCCACAGCAAGAGCCGCGCAAGACCTGGACCCCTAGAAGTCGTCCATTTGACCGCGAGCGGACAATAGACAAACGGCAAGTAGACGAAGAAAGCGCCGCAAAAGCCATTGCTGAAGGCCGGCGCATCTATATGGGAAACCTGCGCTACCAGGCAGAGCCCGACCACATTGAAGATCTACTCAGAACCAACGACCTAGGAAGTTTTGAGTCGATCCACATCTCCATCGACCCCTTTACGGGGCGTAATCCAAGCTACTGCTTTGTTGAGTTTCCGGACCGCGAGTCAGCCGATCTGGCCATATCTACGTTAGAGGGCAAGCTGCTTCTTGGTAGAGAGGTCAAGTGCCGTCCGTGCATACCAAAGGGCGGCGCATCTAGTGCAAGAGAGGGCGAGGGCGTCAAGCGCTGGGGCCACTGGACGGGAGAGAATACTACTGGGGATGAAGGAGGCAAAGCATCCTTGGGGCAGGATATTCGACAAGGGAAACAGGAAGGCTCGTCGTCTCCATTTACTAGACATAAGGATGATTCCAACAACCAACGATTGTACGTCGGTGGTCTACCGCGGATGCACGATCAAGCAACCAACTCTGCCGAAATCAGAGAGTTATTCAAAGAGTTTCAAGTGTAAGTTTGACTACCATTTCCGAACCTAGGTGTTCCTTGACTTGAAAGACAACCGCACTAAACTATCTTAAATACAGAGAAGCAATAAGCAAACGGGTCACTGCCCATGAATCAATCCGTGCTAAACCTGGCCATCACGATTTCTGCTTTGTTGATTTTGTGACGCCAGAGCAGGCTCAAGCGGCAATAGATGCCATCAACGGTACATATTTTCGTGGCGGGCGGCTGAAGGTGTCCTTTGCTAGCGGCCGCTCTCGCAAGTGGCAGGAGAGGGAAAACATCGACGTTAGTGGATAACGTACGAACTAGCCAAGTAAAGAATCGAAATATCAACGCCAACTAATGGCTCTGCAAAAGAGATCAAAAGAAAGTGAAAAGCTGGTAGCTTTTCACGGCATTAAATGACCACCCCCCTTCGTCATGGTTTTTTTTTTCAATTACCCCCTTTTTCCTTTCCTTCTTTTTTTTTTTTTTTTCTCTCTTCGCCTCTTCTCCCTTTTGTCCGTCCTCTCACTATCACCACCTCCCCCTTCACACTACTTCCCCTCCTTTCGACTTGTTCTTCCTTACTTCCTCTGTTGAAGAGGTAGATACCAGATTGTTCCAACCATCACTAGGTGATGAGTGGTTGCCATGATTGCCAGTGCCATAGCCACTAGACTTAACAGATTTCAGTTGCTTTCCTTCGCGTGACATGTTCCAAGAGACCGATAACCGACCATAGGGCCTTTTAGTTCACTTCGCCGACTTTTTGGTGGCTTTCTGATTGCCCTTCTTCGAATCCTTAGCCGCAGCTTCCGCAGCCTCCGCAGCTTCCGCAGCCTCTGCAGCCTCTGCAGCCTCTGCAGCCTCGATAGCTTCTTTCTTTTTATTAAGCTCTTTTCCGAGTCTGGCTAGACGCCGGTCCCACCGCTTGCAATAGTAAGTCCACACGCGGATCCTAGTTTGTTTGACCGTCTTTGGCGTCTTGTCGCCAAAAATCGTGTCCTTGCCAATAAACTGATTCAATCCGCCAGCAAAATTGGCGATGTCCGAAGGAGAAGGAATGGAATGCATCATTTGAAGGTAGGCTTCCAGATCTGTGATTCTCCTTTTCATACGATCCTTGAAGAAACTGAGGATACTCTCCTCACCCTGACGGTCCTTTGGTAAAGCGTGAAAAGATTCCCAAGAGGTCATGGGGTCCCTAGAAGGATAGCCCCAGAGCATGCAAAGTTCCACATCTCCAGAATCGCCCCAGCGGATATCTAATACCTGCTTGTAATTCCATGCCAACAGTCCGTCTGCGTTATGCTTGGGCACCTCGCGATGTACAACTCCTATGGAGTTCACAACCTGGCCCTTGCGTCTAGTACGGGATGAAACTCTGTCCGCCATGAGATGCATATCCTGTGCGATACGGTTTTCACCCGCAAAGTCCACCGGTGCAGCTTCAATAGCTGCATTGATCAAAGTTTCAGTGCCCATGTCTTTTTGCCACTGAGGACGTTTGTCTTCCTTTTCGTCGCTTTTGCCTTTTTCTTCGTCACGTCTGGCTTGTAGTGCAAAAGCTCTGTTACGTGCGGCCACTATAGAATATAAATGTTAGAAAAATCCACTAGACTTGGGGCAAGAAAAGAGTCCGCCATTAAGAAAAATCAGTGTTTAAGGAAATTGCTTTGAAAACAACAAACCAAAGCGAGTTTGGTAGATAAGAGAACAGGGATAATTGGAATGAATGTAAAAAGTAGATTGGTTAGGCAGAGGAAATAAATATTTCACTTACGACCACGGGAGATAGCAGAAAGGATGCGAGTTGCCTCAGCATCAACTCGAAGCAGTGAATGACGAAGGGCCTCTTTCAACTGGAACTCTTCTCCATCGAGAGTAAAGCGCATGAAGACATTGAAGATCTTCAAGTTGATAAAAGCCGGTGCTTTATGAGAACCATTTGCAAGTTCATCCCATTTATAGATCCGTTCTGCCACGTTGAAATACTTGTCCTGCTGGATGGTGAGAGATAACTCTTCAAGATGTTCACATCGATTTAGAAGAGCTAGGATATGACCAATAGTGGCAGCCTGTTTGCGACGCCTTGCTTCATGCTGATGATAATGCACCTGATCTGCGGCCCATGTTTCCGCCCAATGGCATCCAGGTAGAAGGCGAATGGTACGGATCATTGCCAGGCGTTTGGGGAGAATAGCAGCTAGGAATGCGTGTAAATCCTGGGTATAACAGAATTCAAATCTGTTAACGCGATAGAAAACGGGATACTTTTCTAGCTCTTTGTAGATTGAGCGGCAGGTGCGGCTAAGGGAAACAACTACTAGAGGTTGAATCTTCATACTTGAGAATTCCAAGTTAGAGGGACACGGAGAGGATGTATTCCATGCAAACTTGTTCGAACGAGGGGCTATCTGCTTAGGTCGGACGGGCTCGTCGATGGCTACGGCAAATTCGTAGATCATGAGACGAATCTTAAAAAAGGTGTGTTAGTTCAGCAGTGCCAACACATATCGGACTCAAAAGGAACAGACATACCTCCGTAGGGATCTTCCTAAAGAGGGGAGAATAATCTTTATTCTCTCGGGTGATGTGGGCCAAAAGATGATTCTCGTCGTCAATATTGACGACTTTGTTGGCTGATGCGGCCATGGTGTTTTACTTTGCGTTGACAGTGATGCAAAGTGATATCACCAAAGTACGCAACTAGAAGTAGCAACTAGAAGTAGAAATACTCTTGTCGCATATATTTAGAGGCAAAACAACAGGCAACGTAGGAAATATCAAGTACCAGTTGGCCGAGTGCAAGTTCGAGTCGGCGACGCGAAATAGTAAAGGGGTTATGATTTAAGGATTGACTTATAGGCAGTCTATGTTAATGAAGTTGACGAAGGCGGTCCCAAGAGGGAAAGCCTGGAAACAAACTAGAATATTGACGGCGCCAGTAACTTGACAAGATCGATTCCGACGTGAAAGGAAAAGGTTTGGAATTAATGAGCAGTGGCGGGAGTTGTAGATATTTAAGTAATAAAATCGGTGGGAGGAAAACGGTAAGGCAACAAGCCGGGCAACGAACGGGGCAACTGCAAAACACAAGTCGGAAGGAAGTCGCGAGGCTTGTATATACCTTAGTTACCTAAATACATAAAGTACATAGGTAGGTAGTTTAGGTGTGCTCCTTAGGTATGTTCCTTAAGCAGCACTTTCCCTCGCAACCGCCGATAAGGTACACGATAAGGCGGAGACGTAAGTGCAAGTGCAGGTGTAGCTGTAAAGACCGGCGCAAGTTATGCTTTCTACGGGTACCTAACTGACTTCTCTACCGCTGTGAGTCACACTTCTTCACATTAAAGACGTAAGAGCACATTAGAGAGGAAAGAGTAAATGCATTGCGCTCTTGTCCTTATCAGAGTCACAAAAGGAAGTTCTGTACGCATCTAGAGGTATGTAGGTACCTAGGTAGTTAGAATACAGAAGTAATAATAATATAGGTACCTATTACACGTTTACAAATAACCCAGGTATCAACATCTTAACAAGTCAAAGTTCAACATTCACATAGTTATATGTACTATAAACCGATAACAATGACTATGTTTCCTTATTGTTTGGAGTAAGACGGACCTATTTATGCTTGATCACTGCGTTCCAAACACAAGGTCTCTCATAATCCATCTCTTATGTACTCTCTATGGCCTCCTTGGTTTCCTTGTCGGCTTACCGGTAGCCCCCCTTTTCAGTTTTTTGTCCCCGTGAGATCGTGTGATGCCCCTTAACTTACCTATGCGAGTCACTCGTCTTTCCCATACCCATTTGCATAAGCATTCGGCACATATTCCTCTACGATATCTTTTCTTCTGGATATTGCTAGATCTGACACGGTAGTGAGTACGACGGGTATGTCCACACTCGTAGACTTGGACTAAGTCAAACCACCCTTACTGGGGCCACCCTAGTGGGGGCCACCCATTTCCCATACAAAATCAACGATTTCGCATATCTGTATTTAATTCAAGAAAATAGATAAAATTATACGGTCTTTGATTTTGAGTACGGTATTGGATTCTCACCAGGTATAAAATTTTGAAAAATGGCAGGGTTAATATTTGTGGTAAAATGAATATAAAATTATACACTAACAATTATACATATAAATTTATATGTAAAGCTGTTAAAGGATATTATTGCGTATAATTTTACCAATTAATATGGTATAAATGTAAAACTTATATCGTTAAATAAGGGACGTTTTAATATAACTTTTAAATTTAAGGCCAGTTATATAACTTATTTATCCGGGAAGTTATAAGCGTTTATAAGGTTTTGTGGTAATTTGATGAAATTTCCATATAAAATTCAAAATTTAAAATTTTTAAAAATAACATTAAAAATATACTTTACTATTTTACTATTAAAACATTAGATTTTAAATATAATAAAATGTACATAAGCTATTATAATGATCGAAAAGTAAAACATAAGAGATTGTTTATTTTTATCTATTCTTTTGAATTAATTATAGACATGCGAAGTTGTTGATTTTGTATGGGAAATGGGTGGCCCCCACTAGGGTGGCCCCAGTAAGGGTGGTTTGACTTATATCCTGCCCTTTTTCGTCTTTGGCAGCAGCTACAACCTTTTCCGCCTTCAACGTCGCACACTCCTCAGCTCAGAGATGTGTACAACTGAGTTGGTAACGGGATTCGCATATAGGACATTCTTGTGCCGATCCTATTGCTATCTGCTCGCCTTTCAGTTGAAAATATAGCAGTTCTATTGGGCTCCATTCACTACCATCCAAAGCTGTGTTGTCAAGTCTTTAACAATAGTTTATTCAAATGTTTCACACGCCACTGGATTTCGACTTAGGGGCAAATGATATATCAACGACATTATTTGTTGTTATCTGTTTGTAATTATAAAACAAGTAGACAATACGTAGGTATTCAATAGTGTAGGTGCAGCCCCAGTCAGCTATAATTATCTTATCTCTTTCTTCCTTAAAGTCCATTGTAAGTAATACAACAAACTGAACATCGAAAAAAGAAGACAATGCACCCAGATTGACGTCGGTCTTTATGTTTTATGCAGTCAGTATCAAATCAATACTATTTCCAAAGATCACGAGACCCTGTCTATATCAGTGATGTTGTTTACCAATAGCTTATCTCCCAATGCTACATACCCAGAAAGGTAATAGGTCTTGCTCACCGATCCTATCTATATGCTAGTTACCCCTGGCTTTCCACAATGGGACTCGCCTTAACGCATTTCTTCGCTTCATTAACCTTAGGCACCTGGGTTCCCTTCCTACCAGGAGCGATATCTTAGCGCCGACACCAACAAGAAGGCAGAAGCAGACTGTAGAGGTAAAATCAACATGACTCGACGTGTAGTTCAACCTCAGCCCGAGGCCCTACCAAAGCGCGTCTTCTCTACAGGATTCGGCATCGCTATACGGACCAGAAGTGAAGATGACAATGCATCCCCGTCCAACTACGCCAAGGAGCAAGCCTTCACCGTCATCACCACAGGCCTACTAATCCCCGGCGACGGACAACCTACCAAAGACGCGGCCCTAGTAATTGAAAACAAGCTCATCGCATGGATCGGCTTGCAATCAGACCTGCCATCAAGATTCACCCAAGTGCCGCACAAATCGTACTCGGTGCCGTACTTAATGCCCGGCCTCTGGGATTGCCACGCGCACTTCCAGGGACAGAGCGAGGAGGAGAAAAACGACTACTTGCCCATCATCAGCGAGCACCCGGCCGCAGCCGGCGCGCGCCTCGCTAAAGGGTGCTGGGAGGCGTTGCAACGGGGGTATACCTCGTTGCGCGACCTAGCAGGGTACGGGTGCGAAGTCGCGCGCGCCATCGAGGACGGGACGATCGTGGGGCCGAACGTGTACAGCGCGGGCGCGTGTCTCAGCCAGACGGCTGGGCACGGGGACGTGTTTGCGCTGCCGGCGGGGGACGTGCTTCTAAATCTTGGCGTGTCCAGCGTGTCTGCGGGGCAGTTCGGGGCCGGCGTGTCGATCATAGCGGACGGCGTGGATGAGTGCCGGAGAGCTGTGCGTCTGCAGATCCGGCGTGGGGCGCGGGTTATCAAGGTGATGGCGTCGGGGGGTGTGATGTCACGAGATGATGATCCGTTGTGTGCGCAGTTCAGCCATGAGGAGCTGCGGACTATTGTGGAGGAGGCGGGACGGCAGAACCGTGTCGTGGCCGCCCATGTTCACGGGAAGCCGGGTATCTTGGCAGCGGTCAATTCGGGTGTTGCATCTGTGGAACATGTGTCATTTGCGGATGAAGAATGCATTGACCTGATTAAGGAGAAAGGCGTTGTGTATGTTGCCACACGCACTATTACTGAACTATTGCTGCAGTCAGGTGGCAAGGGTTTATCACGGCAACAGTGGGAGAAGGCACAGCTATGTGGGAAAAACAGCTTCGCCGCCTACAAGTTAGCCGTTAAGGCGGGCGTGCCAATTGCTTTAGGGACTGATACAGCACCGGGGTTCAATATGGCCATGGAACTGGACTACGCTGTGCAAGCCGGCTTGAGCAATTTAGAGGCCATCAAGGCCGCGACGGCCAACGGTCCATTGACCGTGAAGGGACAGGCTCCTAAGACGGGCCAGCTAAAAGTTGGATACGAGGCCGATATCCTTGGCTTATTGAAAAATCCGGTCGAGGACGTTAAGGTATTACAAGAAAAGGCGACCATTGGGTGGGTATGGAAGGGCGGAAAGATTTATAAGGGCCCGGGCGTAGGTCCTTGGGGAGAAGAATCATAGCTTCTCCTAGGTATGTACCTTGGCAGTTGATCGTAAGTTCATAGTCTGTCATTTATAGTATCGTTACCTACCTCATATACAAGTACATAAATGTTTCAACGCCAATGAAAAAAAGAAAATTTATAAAAACACTCATACATCAATAATCAGTTTCTCTTCTCCTCTGGATTCCCTCCACCTGTTAGTCGATTCGATCAGAGTATGACATCCCTTCAACAGAAACGGCCATTTTGTCGCAAAGCCCTCGGTAACTTCCCAGCCCATTTCTGACCATGGCTCTCCCCATACTACCAGCCCCCTAGATTCTACCTCGTCAAACCCTTCGTAGAGTCCACCAGCCATGTCTACGCAGAGATCATCTTCATCATACCTGCCGTGGTTCAGGATCAGATTATCTCGCATGCCACCCCACGGAACAATATCTATCCAAAAATCATGCGCCACACGCTTCTGGACCTGGGTCGGTTCAAAGTTAGGGGGTATAGTCTTAGGAGGAGGAAGTATGCTTTTTATATCGAGAGCTGCGCTGCATTCGAGGGGCATCCGGTCGGTGGTTGATAAGATAGACATGTTGGTAATGAACGCTCGAAGAACGTTGTATTGGATTAAGACAAGGAGCCGATGGTCTGCCGAGATAGGAAAAGCAAAATTTGGGATGGTAATTCTAGCCTGGTTGTGGCTATCGAGATATGGGATCACGGGTGGGATTGTTTGCCGTTTAAGGCTCGGTGGATTATACCTCGCACCATGCGTGAGGTCTTGTCGTTGGCTGAGATTATAACATGGGCGATCTGGTATCCCGTACACTTCATTTATAGCATTAAGTTGCGCATGAAACTCCTCCCAATGAGCGAAGGGCCTGAGCTGTGTATAAAGATGGGACGGCACACGTGGATCGGCTTTTAAGAGATTCATGATCTCTTGTGCCAGAGGATTATCTACATCTGGCTTAGACGGTGTCGTTTGTCCATGGAACTCCTGCTCATGGGACTCATGCTGGTCGCCAGCTGGTAGCTGAGCGGCCTTCTTTCGGCCTTAAGCATGGCAATTATGTATAAGCAATTTTGAATTAATATGGGGTATGTAGCAACCTACGCCAGGCTCTTTGATGCAGTCGATTCTGCCGCTTCCTCCTTTCGGCTGCATTAGTCAATCCAGTCCAGTTATCACCTTCTACTCGCGCCTAGAAACCTATTAGCTTCACATTCCTCTTTTACACTTATGAATATCGAAATGGCCTTCGTCCTTGAAAGCAGGGAGATCCTAACCTCGCGTAGCTGTACCATCGATGACACGTTAAAAGCCATTCTGTGATATTTGATATTGTCGTGTCGCGGATTCTGAGAATTGGGTCAAAAACTTGAAATCACCGATCGCGGCCAGGTCCTAGGCTGAGACTTTTTAATGCACTCTGCTTATTAGAGACCGGCGGATGGTTGAATGATATGTGTCCCGGAAGCTTAACAGAACGGCCTCGGCACCAAGGGACCGTCCGAATGGGAAAACAGTTGGCCCTCTTCTTTCTATTTTGGGCGTTTTAGCCCCGGGAACGTTGCTTTAGCGCTGCAGGACCGCAGTCTTGGTAATAGGCTAGGCTATCTATAGAATAGCGCATCTGCCATCTGCTTATCCTGCATATACCCCTGCTTGGCTTAGAATCTACAAATAGAGATATCGACAGCTTTGGACTTTCATCTAGCAGTCGAACCATATAGGCAGTCACAGAAATACACACTCTTTTTAAGTGGCCCATTAGTGTGCCTACCAAGGTGCTATTTCAAATATGAAGTCAATAGTATATAAAAGCGCAGCCTTCGCAGACAGAAGTCTTCAGTTCTATATATCCATGAGATGCTTTACTATTAGACTAATAAGTTTAACCAGATATATTTTTGACGAGATATATCGTCCCAAGGTCTCTACCACTATCTATATTCGTAACTAGGATTTTTTTAACGACACAAAATTCTGAGCACCATTAGTCAACATGCCTGCGATATCTGGGTTCGTGAACTTCAACCCGGACAAGGATATCCCGTCTCTTCAGGGTAGAGTTATCTTCGTTACGGGTGGCATGTTATTACGGTCCTTGGTTTTACTTCGAAAATTTGTGTTAGCTAACTATCCAAAGGTACTGCTGGTCTTGGGCGAGCTTCAGTTAAAGCCCTTGCAAAACATGACCCTACCCATATTTACTTCACCGGCCGCAATGAACAAGCCGGCGAGGCGCTCATCGAGGAGATAAAGAAGACGAACCCGTCCGTCGGAATGTCATTCTTAAAAATGGATATGACCTCACTGTCTTCGGTCAAGAAAGCTTGTGCTCAGTTTACTCATGACCGCCTCGATATTCTTATGTTAGCCTCATTCTCTGTTTATTCTCGAAATGTTGTAAGACAAAGGCAGATCAAGTCTAAACTGATGATAAATAGGTGCAATGCCGGTATCATGGATAAACCACCGACCCTAAGCGAGGATGGCTTCGAGATACACTTCGCAGTCAACCATCTAGCACACGGCATGATCATTCAGCAAGTCCTGCCTGTCTTACGGAGGACGGCTGATTTGCCTGGCTCCGACGTGCGAGTTGTCGTTCTTACATCCACTGGCTGGCGAGGACATCCGAAGAATGGCATAGATTTTGCTACTATTCGTACCACGCAGGAAGACTTGACTTTGTTAGGATTCAATCTTCGCTATGGGTAGGTCACCTCTTTTCAATGATCAGCGAGCGAACATGAAATATGTCTTGTCCGAATAAAATGTGAGTATACTGGGTTGTCGATCTATAAGGACTAATTGAAGTATAAGTCAAACCACCCTTACTGGGGCCACCCTAGTGGGGGCCACCCATTTCCCATACAAAATCAACGATTTCGCATATTTGTATTTAATTCAAGAAAATAGATAAAAATATACGGTCTTTGATTTTGAATAGGGTATTATATTTTTATTATATATAAAAATTGAAAAAAATGGCAGGGCTAATATCTGTGGTGAAATGAATACAAGAGTATACACTAACAGTTATACATACAAATTTATATGTAAAGCTGTTAAGGGATATTATTGCTTATAACTTTACCAATTAATATGGTATAAATATAAAATCTATATCGTTAAATAAGGAAAATTTTAATACAACTTTTAAATCTAGAGCGAGTTATATAACTTATTTATCCGGGAAGTTATAAGCGTTTATAAGGTTTTATGGTAATTTGATAAAATTCCCATATAAAATTAAAATTTTAAAAATTTTAAAAATAACATTAAAAATACACTTTACTATTTTACTATCAAAACATTAGATTTTAAATATGATAAAATATACATAAGCTATTATAATGATCGGAAAGTAAAAAATAAGAGATTGTATATTTTTATCTATTCTTTTGAATTAATTATAGACATGCGAAGTTGTTGATTTTGTATGGGAAATGGGTGGCCCCCACTAGGGTGGCCCCAGTAAGGGTGGTTTGACTTATTCCTACAGACAAAGCAAAATCGCAAATATAATCTACGCAGCTGAGATCGCGCGGCGGTACCCTAAGATCAAGGCTGTGTCCATCCACCCAGGTGTCGTCACTACAGATCTATTGAATAGTTTGTCACCGATGAGAAAAGCGTTTGTGTATGGCGCAAACTGGATGCTAGGTGGTGGCGTAGTGGACGAGAGTATAGGTCGTCTAAACCAGCTCTGGGCGGCAGCAGGCGCGAAGAGAGATGAGTTGGTGAATGGAGCATACTATAAGCCCGTTGGCGTACAAGGAAAATTGGATAAGACAGCAATGAGTGAGGAGTTAGGCCGTGAGCTATGGTCATGGACTGATGAAATGTTGGCGAAGGTGGAGTAGGTCATACTGGATTATGATACTCTACTCTACTCTACTCTGTAACCTTATTACGAACCAAGACAAGTGATTTTTATTAGGTTAAATGATTTAATGACGTGAATATGGAAATGTTTAGACTTATTCTGATTGTAGACCGCATTACAGATCACGGATGAACAGGCTATGAATTGCTAGGATGAAAAAAAATAAAAAAAAAATAAAAAGAATAAAAGCTTTAAGCCATTGAGATATCTTCATATAAACAAACCGGCGGGTGATAACCCTAACCTAGGAACGATACTAATATCATGAGGTGGAACAAGAAGCAAGTCAATAACTTCGTTGTTCCACGAGGAACTCTACATAGGCTAACTATAGGAGCTTACGGCTAACTATACATACTAAAAGTATCCTTTGTTCTAGGTTAGATGACTTATTTAGAATCCTGACAGCCAAGGCACAGGATGCCTCGGAAATACGCGTACAGCTAATTCCCGTGTTCGAAGAATTTGTTGGCTAGCAAAGACTTGGCTCCCGTAAACTTCACGAAGATGCCACCATACAATTGGAAACATCTTACTTAAAAGCTTTTGCTATCACTACATGAATATCGGGACATCGTATTTCATTAAGCCCCGTACTAGTTCAACTCGGAGCGCTCCTATCGAAGTGAAATCGAATTTCTAGCATTGAGGCGGTGTAGTCACTCGTTTAAAAAGTCTAGACAAATTTAAATCGTGACTTCGATTGGAAGTCCATATAGAATGTTCGTTCAATCCCAAGTTATAAACAGCGAAGGGTTTATCTATTTATTCCATCACGAGCTGCAGGACATCGAGTAATTAATAAAGATGTCGACAGAATATTATCAAGGCATTGCTAAGTTCTTAACACTGAATAGGAGAATACATAGGCGTCTACCCCTTGCTCAAATTTACTAAAGAGGCCCTTACCTGATTCTGTTGAAACATGGTAACATCGGGCACGCCGTGATGCATAATTAGTCCCGACAGCATGAACCAGACTTCAAACATTTACGTCATTCCCGAGGTACAATGAAAAAAAAAAAAAAAAAAGAAGGAGGATCTCTTGCTGGTAATAATACCACCTGATCTAACTGTCCAAGTATAATACCTAGGCTATTGTTTCACGCAACAGGTTGGGTGAGAATTGTGACTATATAGCAACCCCACAGGATCAATCACAGGATCAATCACAAGATCAGTCACATTATCAATTAAGAGTATTAGGAATATACAATTGCACAGCTTTCGTCACAAGCGGACAGCTTATGCACCTATGTATCATGTATGGTGCCATAAAAGCGACGGGGCAAGTGTGTGGGTGGTGAGTCCATTAAAGTTAATAGCTACATACATACTGTAAACGAAGCCAATAGCGGCAACGAAGTCGGTGAGTATCTAATGTAGGTGAATGAAGTAGCATCAGCATGAATTAGAGTAGTATCAAGATCGCCAGCGACAACCTGCCCAGCGTCTCCGCGCTGCCTCACCATCAACATGTGCCGGCCAATATAATCCTCCTGACATTGCAGGGCTATTGGACTATCTTAATAGTCCTAGTTTACTATGTACCTTTCAGGAACCAGTTGTGATCGGCTCACTAGGTCGTTTGATGGTCAGCATTCTGACTCTTTTCTCTACTTGGGTCGAAATAATGGGAGTGGATTGGAGTGGGCATATCATTTAACTACTATGCAAGTAGTAATTTGAGTTCGCTTTGCACGATGATGCGGTGGTATGGCCTCACTACGACCATAATGTAATACGCCGGGGGTCTTTAAAGCTTAAACACTACTGAATACATACATAGCTAGGTAGTGCAACTAGCTCGTGACGAAGTGAACAGATGAGGTGCGTTTTTGATATCGCGTACTCCGTTGGCGTAAATGATTAAGGATGGGCGGCAACGGAGCTTTCGGCATGGGGAGGTATGAATAACATTGTGATCGTCTCTTTAACCACGTCGACCAGTGATATTGGTCTATGCGGGGGTAATATAACTCCTTAGGTTACAACGCAGGGTTGATAGATCCACTTCTCCTTGAAATGGCAAACGATTAGACCATAATTCGACAATAAGCTTCTGGAAAACAAGTGGAAAACGCCGCAAATCCTAGCTAAATCCAGCCGGCTGGTACCCGTTCTACCATGTGCTAGCCGTCTTCGCCAAGGTTAACCCTGAATGTTCCTGGCTATTCCAGTCCCTGGCGAGTGACGACATCACAAGGGATATTAGACTCTACTAGAGTGGATGATGGTAGAATCAACATGACCGAGGTGAATGCAAAACTCAGGGGCGATGGGTTGGGCGAGTTGGCAGTCTGGGGGAGTATATATCTACCATCGCCTGTCATTATCAGATACTTTCTTTTACTCACCATCATCAGCTTTCAGGTTCTCTCACTCAGTCACTCACTACTTTCTAACCTAGTCACTCTTTGACATCTCAAGCTCTCAGCTTATACCACTGCTTAATATACCCTTCCCGTCGATACCACATCGCCAGCCAAAATGCGTTTCTCCAACTTCGCCCTCGCTGCCTTCTCTTTTGGCTCTGCCATCGCCGCCCCGGCTGCTCACCAGAACAACGCTCGTGCGCTTGAGATTCTCGCCACTGCCACTTCCACCGTTGGAACTGTGCAGCAGACTGTTAACGGTCAACTCCAGACTATCAGTATGTTTTAGATGCTAAATCTGACTAGAATGACTAGAATTACTCGGCTAACAATCGTAGCCAACCTGTTGAGTGTCAGCGTCAGCGTCAACACTACCACTCTGATCTCCCAGCTTGAGCACGCTCTCCTCAGCATTGCCGGCGAGGTCACCACGATCGTTGGCGATGTCACGCCTCTTACCGATAACATCCCCAAGCTGCTTGATTCTGAGCTCCAGGCCGTCCCTCAGCTATTGAACGGAGTGCTCTCCATCGCCACCGGTGTTAAGGCTACGGCTGATCAGATCACCAAGACTGTTCCTGCTGATGTCTTGAAGGCTATCCAGCCCGAGCTTCAGCTTGTCCTCTCTACCGTCGAGCCCGTTGCCAAGCCCGTCATCAGCTTCGCTCTTACCGCTGTTAGTGGTGTTGTCGGACCCGTTGCTAACCAGATCAACGGTCTTGTTGGTCAGCTCCAGGGCGTTGTTGGTGGCCTTCTCAAGATCGTCGGCGGCATCGTCGGCGGCCTTCTATAAGCGCATCGCGTTGCAGTGTAGTGGTAGTTGATACCTGTGTCGAAGCCTGAAGGAGTTTTTGGAAAAGCATAGGGACTGGAAATCTGCATGCTCATGATTAGATGCTTGGATACCTTTTGGCATTTATAAAATTTAGCGCGCGAGCCGATAATCTTCAATTGATAGCATAGAGTTGTTGCGTCCCTATTTGACTTTGCTTCTATATTGTGAACTTTCGTATTAGTTGATCTGGAGTGTGTAAATAGACTCTAGAGAGTCGCCTTTTATTCTTTTAGGTTAACTACCAAATAGGTTAACTAGGTAAACATGGAGTAAACTAACCTAGTCCACGCGAGAGTAGGTTGTTTTGTTGTCAAGGAAGCCATTGGACGCGTTTGCGTTTCATTAATCGAAGTACCTGGACAAGGGTGCCTATGAAACCCGTGAATAGGTAACATTGGGATGGCGTCCCCATTGTTAACTACCTCGTACCTAATCTAATTCTATACATACCTTGGCTATATGTTATCCACCTTATATATCCTATGAAACGGTATATAGATGCCTTTTACGCAACTTGGATCCGTTCATATTTATACCATATTTATAACTAAAGGCTGCAAACTCAACCCGTTACCAATAATTCATCAGTGAATAATAGTCGCTCATAATGACATCTTTATTTGGCCTCGCACGGCGCAATTGGTTGGCGTTCAATCCTTCCGAAACCCCCAAGTCGGCTGGTCCGCTCCGGTTCGGAATCCTCGGCGCCGCTGATATTGCACCGATGGCTCTTATCCTCCCGGCAAAGACTCATCCGGATGTTGTAGTCCTGGCCGTAGCCGCTCGAGATCCGAAGAAGGCAAAAGCCTATGCCCAGAAACATGGTATACAAGAGGTGTCTTCGAACTATCAAGGTAGCTACATAATTCTTGATATTCTATTTTACACTACGTCGAGAACAACTACTAATCATTACTACGCATCGGCATTTGAAGACTTGCTCGATAACCCTAACATTGACTGCGTCTATATACCTTTGCCTAATGGATTACACTTTGAGTGGGCTCTTCGGGCCTTGAAAGCTGGGAAGCACGTTTTATTAGAGAAGCCGTCAGTAGACAACGTAACTGAAGCTGAGGCTCTCTTCAAGAATCCGATTCTTAACAACCCTAAGGCGCCGGTTCTGCTCGAGGCTGCGCATTATGCTTTCCATCCTGCTTGGACTACGTTTATGTCATACGTTTCACCTGCCGACGTTTCCAGTGCGAAAGCAGTGCTTTGGGTTCCGAAGTGGAAGTTCGCCGCTGACGACATCAGATATCAGTATGATCTGGGAGGAGGCGCGCTCATGGATCTTGGAGCATACACGGCGAGCGCTCTTACTCGCGTGTTTGGCGCTGTGGCAGAGGAATGTGAAGAATGCCTCACTCAGGCAGCCTCCTACGATTCGAGATGTGACCAGCTTTTCAAGGCACGGTATAAATTTCCAGGCGGAGGGCGGGGCGAGATGGAGGGCGATCTAAAAGCATCCCTTGATCGCGTGTTGCCTGAAATTTACGTGGAACATATTCCTATAGTAGTATCTAGTGCGGATGTAAAGATCCAAGTCCCCAAGGATCAGGAAGTAGTGCGCACACGGAAGATCAAGTTCTCAAATTTCGTCATGCCCACGATTTTTCATTCCATCCAGATAGACGACGAGTTCCTAACAAGGAAGATTGGGGATAAGTCTGGGAACGCTATCAAGAAGTGGACGAAGAGCAAGACAGTCAAGGCCTACACGTTCAAAGAAGTTGACATCAACCAACCGGGTGAGGCTTTCTGGACGACTTACCGATACCAGCTGGAGGGATTCGTTAACAAAGTTCGTGGGCATGAAGCACGACAGTGGGTGACCGGCGCTAATTCGATCAATGCCGCAAAGATGATCGATATGGCTTATGCAGCCGCGAAGTTGCCATTGCGACCTACGAGTAAGTTGGTAGATAGTAGTATATAGCGACTCAGGGAGGATAGTTGTTTCTAGTATGCGGTGCGTATATGCCAAGGGATGGATATATAGGTATATATATACCTATATATATATTCGTGATGATCAATGGCACTTAATGTTTGACAACAAAATGATAACTTCGCATTTCTCGTACCAGTTCCCTTCTATGATAAATGGGTTATCCTCATAAAAATAATGATATATGTATATAAAAGAGATATGAATTTAAATGGTACTTGTTTTAACGCGTCTCCGAAATTTCCCACTTTTCCGGGTCTAAGAAAAGATTGGACAACAAGAACCCCTATTCGACCACAATTTTCAAGATGGCAAGCGAGACTCTACCGCAAAGCCTTGGATTTCTTACTGACGCCGCTCATCTTCTCGTAAAGACGGCACCTGAGACCTCGGCGTACCTTATGACGCGGCGGAACTCGCTCATATTCCACAATGGTTTAGAGCAGTCGGACTTGCAAAGACAACATGTGTGCGGTGCTTGTGGACATATCATGATCCCCGGTCAAGGGAGCGAGCTAAAGATAGAGACAAAAATGAACTCCCAGCGAAAAAGATTGAAAAGGAAGTACGATGCCTCCAAGGTTATAACTGGGAAGAGCACTCCAACAGCCAAACGTCGAAAGAAGTTTACTTGTGGAATGTGCGGACAGTACACCGATATCGTACTTCCGCCCGTAGCGCCTATATCTAGGCGTCGTCCACTAAAGCCAACAAAATCCCTGGGTTTAGGTACTGCTTACCGCAATGCACCTATACCCCCCGAGCCAGCTAAAGTCTCAGCAAGTGCTAGCAGCAAGAAGAGAGCGAAGAGTAGAAAACAAGGCCTTCAAGCTTTGCTTCAGCAGGCTCAATCTTCTGCATCGAAACCTCAGAGTGGTCTTGGCTTGAGTTTAAGCGACTTCATGTCAAAATGATGTATTTACTGGGCAGTACCTGGTATTTGAAGTACTTGGGTTAGGTACCTAAATTACTTAGGGGTAATGCTAGGTACCTATGTACCTAGGTACGTTGCTTACAAAAAGTTGCTATGGCAGGAGACTTCTCGACCCTTCCAACAGGGGCTAGCAATCACTAGCTCTCGGGCGATTGTGGTGCTGTTGTGCCACTGATAAGATTTGGGTTGTGGGATATGTCATAGCCCCGCGCTACCGCGACAATTGCCCCTCCAAAATTTTATTTTAAGTCAAACAGAACAAAAGCCGTCGATCAAGATATTTATATTTTGACAACGAGTAAAGATTCAAACCAGTTTCTTACCCCGACAAGAGCCGAAATCAATAATACGATTCAAAATGTCTACAATCGACGAACCAGGACACTCGACTATTGTTTCTCCGCCCGACTTCTTCGAGTCCATCGGTCAGAAAGCTGGACATCTCGCCCCCACTACTGATGGAACAGATGGAATAAATGGAACACATGAAGTCACAGATACGAATGGCGACGATGAGAAGGTTGTCGAGGAAATCGAGTCGCTGTGCATGAACTGCCATGAAAACGTATGCATTATTACTAAATATATTCAATTTTAACTATCTCTATACTGACATTATCTAGGGCATAACACGCATGCTTCTCACTTCGATCCCCTATTTCCGCGAAGTCATACTCATGTCTTTCTCTTGCGAAAAATGTGGCTTTTCGAATTCCGAGATACAGTCGGCCGGTATCATCCAGCCCAAAGGATCGAGCTACTTACTACGATTAACCGACATGGCCGACTTCGAGAGGACGGTGATCAAGTCTGACACTTCTGTTGTCAAGTTTATTGAACTCGATCTAGAAGTTCCCGCGGGCCGCGGACAGCTCACGAATGTAGAGGGTCTCCTAAGAACGATCGTGGATGACCTCGAACTTGGACAAGAGGCGCGAAAAGAGCAAGTACCGGAAGTGTATACTAAGATTGACGAGATCATCAAGAAGGGCCGAGCAATGTTAGCGGGCGAGTCATTCCCATTCCGACTTTCCATTGACGACCCGGCTGGAAATTCCTGGATTACCCCCAATATGCGTGACGGTGTTGGCAAATGGGAAAAACACGAATATATGCGCACTCCGGAACAGAATGAAGCACTGGGACTCGCCTCTACGAACCCGACCACTGGCGCTGATCAATCTATCGATGATGAGGATATAGTTCCAGACCAGGTGTACGAATTCCCGGCTACTTGTCCTGGATGCATGCACCCTTGCACAACTAATATGAAGATGGTTGATATCCCGCACTTTAAGTCTGTTGTCTTGATGTCAACTGTCTGCGCCGACTGTGGATATCGGTCCAACGATGTTAAGACTGGAGGAGAGATACCGAAGCTAGGCCAGAAAATCACATTAAAAGTCGAGACGGAAGAAGACCTCGCTCGAGACATCCTCAAGAGCGAGAGCTGTGCGCTTGAATCCCCTGAACTCAACCTCCAAGTAAACCCCGGAACGCTGGGTGGCCGATTTACAACCGTCGAAGGTCTCCTGACCCAAGTACGCAACGACCTACACAACCAGATCTTCGAGACCGGCTCCTCGGAAGGAGGCGACTCTCTGACCGATAACGACAAGTCGCAGTGGGCGCAATTCTTCGAAGGCATCGACGCCGCCATCAAGGGCGACAAGAAATTCACTATCATCCTCACCGACCCGCTAGCCAGCAGCTACGTCCAGAAAGCCGTCGACCCAGATCAGGTCGACCCCCAGATCACGACAGAGGACTACGAGCGTACGGAGGAGGAAGAGGAGGATCTTGGACTTCTCGATATGAAGACCGAGGGATACGAAGCGGACGCTGTTGATACCAGTGGGGATGCGCAGACCAATGGCGCTTGATGGAAGGTTATGTGAATAGGTTGAGCATTTGTCATTTTAGTATGAAGATACCTGCTTAGAGCTCGAGGAATGGGTTTATGGGCCGCGTTTATTATTAGGAATAGAAAATTGATTTTACTTGGGTATGATTTAGATTTGCTATCTTCAAAACGCTACAGTTAAGATATACTACTTTACATAAAACCAGCGCTGATAAAACGCTATACTCCAGAACGTCCCTAACTCAATCTTCAGAGCGTAATCGTTTATCTAGGGATATGCTTAATCGATATTTAACTTATCCCATATCGAGGCTGTGAGATCTTCAACAGTTAGGTCCAGCCACTCTTTACCCGCGTCGACCCACTCGCTGTCGTCAATAATCTGTGCCTCGACCTCTGTCCAGTTCACCGGGCTAGCAGGCACCTGCCCTATTGCTAGCACATTCTGATTGGGGTCAGGCTGTTTAGGCTTCGTTCCCGACATGGCAGCCTCTTCAACGAACCGGGAGCGAGCTATTAATGAAGCTGGCATCGGTACAAAAGCCACGTGCAAGATATCGCGCAGGTTCCGGTAATCTATCGACTTTTCGTAATATAGTCCGCCGTCCTTTGCTTCAGTCAGCCGCCGCACGAGGCCGTTGTTGTGTGATCCGTCGAAGAACTGGAACACGATACCACCCGAGAATACGCGTCTCATGTCCGGGTCCAAGTAAATCGTGCGGGTCTCGGGGAACTGACGCGGCATAAAATGCATATCGCTATATAGGATTGATACTGGTATATGGGTGTTAAAGAATATCTCGAGTGCCCCTGGATCTCTCGATGCCTGCGTCGTCTTTTTGGGACCAGGGTGGTTGAAGTCAAACTGAATTGTGCAAGGAAGAGAGGGTCAGTAACGAGAGCTATACCCTTAAATTTAGTTACTGTGAAAAGAGATGGGCACTTGCGATGAAGAAATCAACTGTTTCGTTGTCATCTCCCGAACACCAGTACTCGAATTGATCTCTTAGCGGGAGGCCTATGTCTAACGCGACTAGGCCGACTGGAACGACCCTTTGATGTTTCTTGACGGCGAGAAGGCCAAGATACCGCCTAATATCACGCACTATGGCGCGGACCATAGGGCCAGCAATTGCTGGTGCTAGATCTTTAATCGAGCTGTTGGGGATGGTGAACCCCAGTAGGTTTGGGTAGCTCGCTAGATGTTCAACGGCCCGGAAGAAGCGTTGCATGGACTTTGATGTGTACGACATCATGGTCGCATTATGATTAAAGACGGGGAAAACTGATTTGATAGACTATCACCATCCTCCGTATGTGAGCACGACAGACATCCAATTATGAGAGGGGTAACTAATAACTACCTTAGGTACCTAGGTAGGTATATGTAGTCTTATTGAACGAAGGCAAATAGGGGGAAGTTAACTCACAACCAGGACATATATCTCATGCTCAGCTAATAAGTTCATGCAAGCTTTATGGCTTTTGGTTACATCGATATAACCTGGTTACCGTTGTAAGCCCCTTGTTCTCGCCATCTTGTCTTTCCCCCAAGGCTGGAACGGGGTATATGGAAACAAAATGTTCCTAGGATCAACTCACTAATGAGTAACGTGTTAATACCGAGTTCCCTTAATAGTGGAATAGCATGTTCAAGGTCCTCTATGCGGTCGTCGGCCAGCATATCCGCGCTGAGCCCATAGCTCCTGTATACGACGCCGCTTATAATGAACTAACCATTCATTTTATACTTAGCCTACACCATCGATGTATTATGTAAGGTGGTGTAGACTTACCCGCATGTTACCTTTCCAAAAGTACCGCCCTTGGATGGTAACTGGTGTTATCGGATTCGCCATGGTTGCCTGTCTCCCCTTCTTCTCTTAGGTGGGTAGGTAGCAATAATATTGTTGGCTGAGATTCAATATCAAAGAAACCAACTACGTCTAAGTAACGCCAGGTACAAATATTCGGGGATTCTGGAAATACGTGTATGTAGTTACTAGTATGTAGTAAGGATGGTAAGGTAGAGTATTGTAGTATGGATAAGGATGAGGATGAGGATGAGGAATCGAGGATGAGGTAGGCAAAAGTTCAGTATCAGTTTGGTACTTCCTCAAGCCAGTTACCTAACGTCATAAAAGTAAAGGCGCCTGCAGTTAGGTATTCCATAGGTCGAGGCCGTGGCTACCTCATGTATGTGTAAATTATGTATATGTAGGTACGCAGGCAGCTAATCGAGGTTGCGAATCATTCGACAGGTACGCATTGTGATCCGTACCTTTTATTGCATACATGTAAGTGTTGCATTAGGTACATGACGTATGTATGTACCTACCTAACACCTAACTCGCACTAGCGGCCATTCATAATCTCCACATGAGCTCGAGCTTCCGTCCTACTTGGGGTAGGTAGACCTTTTTTTTTTTTTTTTTTTTTTTTGTCGTGAGTTCCAATGGTCATAATAAGAAAGCCCAACAACTCTCTATGTTGATTCTATCGAGCAGGTGTTTCCCGTGGCGCTCGGGAGCAACGCCGTTATTATTGTCAATCAGCGCTAAAATACACCGTCGTTCTGCACCTCTTATCGTCATAAGAAACCAACTTCGATATAAGTCCTATCCAAAGAAATCAAAACAGAAAGGTACCAATAAACAGAAAGCCATGGAGAGTAATTTGCACGAAGAAGACGGCGTCCGAATTGCTTTTGAAGGCTGCGTAAGTTTACTCTTAATAGACTATGATATACACACATCTAATTAATCGTGTAGGGTCATGGCACACTCGACGCTATCTATTCCTGTGTAAATTCTTCTTCTAAACATAGAGGATGGGATGGCGTAGATCTTCTCATAATTGGAGGTGATTTCCAGGTAATATATCATCATATTCTAAGTCTCGCCTGGCCGGTATAAACTAACAAGAGGTATAGGCTACTCGCAATGCAGCAGATCTCTCGGTCATGGCGGTGCCGCCCAAGTATCGCCAACTCGGGGACTTCCCAGCATACTACAGCGGTGCCAAAAAAGCACCATACTTGACCATATTCATCGCTGGAAACCATGAGGCCAGCTCGTACCTGTGGGAATTGTACTATGGTGGTTGGGTCGCGCCAAATATCTATTATATGGGGGCTGCTAACGTGCTGCGCTTTGGCCCGCTACGCATTGCCGCAATGAGCGGTATTTGGAAGGGCTACGATTACCGCAAGCCGCATCACGAACGCCTACCCTTCAACCAGGACGATATTAAGAGCTTTTATCACGTACGTGAGTTCGACGTACGCAAGCTCTTACTGCTTCGGGAGCAAGTCGATATTGGATTAAGCCATGATTGGCCAAGGGAAATAGAGAAGCATGGCGATTCCTCTGCATTATGGAAGATGAAACCTGATTTCAAGCAGGAAAGCATTGACGGCACTCTAGGGAATCCGGCAGCTACATATGTGATGGATAGACTGAGGCCGGCGTACTGGTTCTCTGCACACCTGCACTGCAAATTTGCTGCTGTGAAAACATATGAACCTCCAAACGACGCAGAGACATCTTCTAACGAACTGGCGGCGAAGCAGGAAGAAGCTGCACCGACCGCCTCGGAAGAGGCTGCCGCAAACCCCGATGAGATTGACTTGGATATGGAGGATGACGAAGACGGCCACTCTCCAATACCAACAGAATCTGCCGATGTGGTTGACTCTACACAACCCACAAACACAACCGCAGTAGGCGGAGTATCTGATGAACTTCGCGCACAGCTCCCAGCATCATTTGCCGGACCGGCACCGTCCCAACCCAAGGTCATCCCGGGGCAACCTGTCCCACCCACGATAACAAATACCACTACTCGCTTCCTTGCATTAGACAAATGTCTCCCGAAACGCAAGTTCGTTCAACTTTGTTCCGCAATACCCGTTGACCCCTCAAACCTAACTACATTTCCACCATCGACCAATCCAAAACAACGCTACCATCTACAATACGATCCGGAGTGGCTTGCCATAACGCGTGTCTTTGCACCATATCTAACCATAGGCGATCCCGCGGCTCAAACGCCCCCTGACGAGGGTGAAGCGGCATATCAGCCAATGATAGATCGCGAGCGCGCCTGGGTAGAAGAAAACATAGTCCGCACCGGTAAGCTAGACGTACCTGATAATTTTACTCTCACCGCTCCGCCACACCGACCAGCACTCGACCCTAAGACGGTCAAATACCAGCCGGATGAATACACGAACCCTCAGACTGCGGCTTTTTGCGAGTTGGTCGGAGTGCCGAATCTCTGGGACGCGAGCCCTGAGGAAAGGGCGGAGCGAAAGGAGAAAGGGCCGTCGCCTGTAGCACCAAGGGTTAATCAGGGCGGTGGGGGGTCTAAAGGGGGAAGAGGTGGTGGCCATAAAGGTGGTTTCAATAGAGGAGGACGGGGTGGGGGTCGAGGTGGTGGCCGAGGGGGATCGCGGGGTGGGTGGATGAAATGATTCTAGATCACGCAAATATCTGTTCGTAAAAACGCTAGAATTATTACGGATGGTGGGTGATCTTTGTCACGACTTACCTTACTCGAGAAGATTATATTTCCGAGGAAGATGTATATATATATAAACCTCAACTTACGCAGTGTCCCAGGAGGTGACATTTGTATTACTATCCATCTACGTGGAAAGCGAAGTTAAATATGCATAAACGACGGATTGATATGAATGACTTTGATTTGGAAATTATGATTCTCCTATAGAGGGCCTAGTAGATGTAATAGAAATGTATCCCTTCCTAAAAAGCATGGTCTCTACAGAGAAACACAAGCCACGCAGAGTGACGGGGAATGATGTTGATCTCCCATCCGATATAGACATTCAACCCACGGAAGAGTTAAGAGTTGAACGCATATGCTTAGATGGGTTATGTTGGTTGGGAGGCTTTGTTCTCTACGTCGGACTTACCATCGTATTAACTTTATCGAAGAGTGAGTTTAGTTATGAATATCCAATTCCATTCAGTCTTCGTCAGTCATTACCTCTACCTGGGTTTAGAAATAAACATTATCGTAATGGTTGTGTGGTGGTATCATAACGCCAGTAAACTTCAGTAAACGCCGGCCCCGTCCCATATCCAGTGACATACTGCCTAACCTCAGTGCAGTCGATTCAGTTGGCTGTTGGACAACCTAGGTTGGCTCTGCGGGTAGGGGAAACATGAGTGGTGAGCTTTCAGTTGTGGTGGATGGAGCAACTAGTGTCCTTACTATCGAGTCCCAAGTAGTCCGCAGCCATCAAGAGCTCGAGGCAAAGCTCTACGGGGATTTCCATATCCGGGACGTCTTCTCTTTGTCGGTTCTTGTACCAGTAGTGGAAGTACTCGATAACCTTCTCGAGCACCATTCCGCTATGAGGCCAGGTCAGTCCCGAGGTTTGAAATCGGTATGCGACGAGAAATAGTAGCTGACAGGTAGCTGAAGGAACAAGTGTCTCAGATCAAGTGTAGTTGGCTGTCATTCAGACCATATTGACGGTCTGTCAGTAAGAACACAGCGAAATTTTGTGATTCATCACTGACGGTGCCATATGAACGCGAATAAGGATAATAACCGGGATTTCTTGACTCACTTTATCTCTTCGAAGACACATCGACCGCTTCGTGCCTCGGAGAATTGGCCTAACACTTGTAAGTCCGTTTCCCGGGAATCAAGATTTGTACCAAGAGGGATTTGCTATACTCTTCGGATCCAGCATGCTCTTTATTATAGGGCTGACAAGGGTTGCCTCCCGAAGCACCACGAACTCGAAGCCATCACTCGAGACTAGAGTTACGAACTTGTGCGGACTGAAACTGCTGGTGGCCATATTGAGAGATGAGAGATATTTGGCAAAGTTCTTGGGGGGGGTGCTTGCAGCTTGGCAACGCAAGTAGATGAGTTGGATAAAAAGAAGAATAAGAGGCGGCTGGTAAAAGAAAATTTTGAGTAGGAAATAACCTTAGCGTAGAGCTTCAAACGCCTCAAAACATGGTGGGACAGGTGGGGGCTGCAGTGGCAGAAGTGGCTGGTTTTTTATAAAATGGAGACTAAAATGCACAATCTTCCAGGGAAGCGGGATAAGCAGGGATAAATCCATGCCACTAAACATATTAGCGCGTCTAATTGGCTGATTTGCCTTGATTGGAAGGTGGGGCTAGACTTATGCAAGCTGAAACGGTGAAACTATGAGTGGAGTAAATCGTTGCCCTGTCGACGTCCTAATTGACCTTTCTATTGACGTCTGACGAAATGCATGAGCCCGATCAACCAACCATTGCGACTAACTCAGCCTCAGACATCCACAATCTGCCCCCCAAACCAACCTGCTCGTAGCTTTGTCGTTTCTGCCCTTTTTCAACAAACAAGTCCTCGAATCCAGACTTCGATCACACAACAAAAAAAAAGTCTCACCTCCATTCCATCCCGTCTATCAATCCTCTCCATTGTTCGGCCCGCCGAAACATCTCTACATTGTATCCGCCTAATCAACGGGGTTTGAAGAGGGTTACGTGACTTAATAGGACAATTAGCCAGCATATACATCCGGGTCAAGAAAAGAAAAAGAAAGTACTCTACACGAAATTACTTGCCACGGCGCACCGGCATGGCTAACTACCAATATCGCAATTCCCAGTACGGCAGCCAACCTGCGAGCGAGAAGTACGATAATGGTGTCCAGAGACGGCCGACGGGCAAAGGAGGGCGTAACACGCGGTCCAGCGAAGGCACAGTCAGCACAGTGATGAGCGCGTCGACGGGTAGAGAATCGTCGGGGACGCACGTCACAGACGCACCCGCATACTCCAAGAAGATCGTGGTAGTCGGCGACGGCGGCTGCGGAAAGACGTGTCTCCTAATCAGCTACAGTCAAGGATATTTCCCCGAGGTAAGATAACCTACCTAGGTATATATGATGTGATGGATAGCCTTATCATACATACATACATACATAAATATTATTGCCATAGTTTCTTCCCCCCACGGAGAATTTATTCGTACTTGTCGGAAGCTAACCTTGGTCTAGAAATATGTCCCGACTGTCTTCGAAAATTACATCACATACCCGACTCACCAACCGAGTGGTAAGACCGTCGAGCTTGCGCTGTGGGATACCGCCGGCCAAGAAGAATACGATAGGCTGCGGCCGCTGTCGTACCCGGAGACGGACTTAATATTTGTTTGCTTCGCCATCGACTGTCCCAACTCCTTAGACAATGTCCTCGACAAGGTTAGTCTCCAAACATCCCTATCGCCTCCCCACGGCAGATGTTAACGTATGATGTAGTGGTACCCCGAGGTTCTCCACTTCTGTCCTTACACACCTCTCATCCTCGTCGGACTGAAATCAGACCTGCGGAACAAGAAGACCTGTATCGAGATGCTCAAGACGCAAGGCCTTACGCCTGTCACCACCGAGCAGGGCATGGCGGTCGCCAAGAAGATGGGCGCCCAGTACATGGAGTGCAGTAGCAAGGAGATGACGGGCGTAGATGAGATCTTCGATAAGGCGATCCAGACCGTAGTGGCCAACGACCGGCGTAACCTCGAGGTGGCAATGGCTGCGGCTCCCTCGTCCGTTGGCGGCGGTAGCAGCGCGTCGGGCGGCGGGCGAGACAGCGGCGGGATCCCCGGGATCCGTACTTTTAAGAAGAAGAAGCGGAACTGCAACTTCTTGTGAAGGGCGACGAGGTAGCAATTCTTACTTACGTCTTACTTACGAACGCTGAGTAGGCATTTGGATGGATACGACGACGGAAACACAAAAAGTCCGGTTAATGATCAACTTTTGCATGACATCATATTGTTTATTTTTATTTTGTTCACTTTCTCAACGACGCTTCTCTTGTTACGATAGCGGGAAGGATAGGTAAGGATCGCCGTTTTTATTTTCTTATTTTTTTTTCCCACCTCCAACATCATCATCTTCTTTTCGTCTTCATTTCCTTAGAAGAGAAAGAGACAGAGAGAGAGAGAGAGTTCTTGCATACAAGATTCTTCGACCACGGCGTTCCTGCGAAAGCGTTCCCTTTAAGTATAGGGTCTAATGACTAGGGTTAAGGAGGGCAATGGTGTTTTTCTTGACGTCGTCGTCTCGGCCCGGCTGGCTGGCTGGCTAGCTGGTCGGCTTGGTCATTTCTGCGAATAAGCTGATGCGGCCGGCGCATTATATTTTCTTTTAAGATGAAGGAAGGGGGGAAGGAAGAAGGGACGAGAACAAGAAGAAGACAAGCCCCCATTTCGTCAGTTGTACGCCGAGAAGGGAGGGAGGAGGGGAGTCAGGCAGGAAGGATTGGACCTGAAAACGGGTATATCACCATTCATGTTATACCGAGGGATCTTTTCCTTTTGTTGCACGAGTTCTTCTTGACTTGACATGGCATGGGATAGGAAATAAAGAAATTCATAATAACTCTTCGACTTGTGTCTGCCTTGTGACTGTTGCGATTCGTGATTTGTGATATGTTCCTGTAGTGTGCCGTGGTTAGGTATAGCCATGGCGGGTATCGTCATGATAAATTATCACCCCTCTCCTTAATCCTATACCGTAGTCATCATCCCCTCATCTTCGTGATTTGCCAACTCTACTATTTTCCTCTTCAGCTTTTTCTACCCGCCGCCGATTCACCGTTCTCGCCATCGTTCCGATCCTGTTGCCCCTGTCCCTCGCCCTCAGGTGCAGCCTCCTCGGGATCCTTCGCCATGACACCTTCGAACTGCGACCACAGCGCCTCGACGGAGGAGAACTCGTTTCCGACGGCAACCACGGCCTCGAGAGACCGGTTTAGCTTATTGATGTTGGCGAGGACGTGCTCGAAGCTCTGGGAATGAAGGTGGTTAGCTAGCTAGCCAGCTGGTTCACACACGTATATACATGCTTTGGTAACCAGGTAGGGGGGTAGGCTACAGGCTGACGAGAGAGGAATATGGGGAATATGGGTAAGACACGCACCATAGCTATCTCACCGATCAGCGCCTCCCGCTGCTGCTCAAAGTAGGTCTTCTGGGGGGTTCCAGCCGGCGTTGTCGAGCGTTGAAGTGACTGCTGGTTGGATGCCATTGTCAAACAGTGGTAGTAATTGAGGCTTTACTAATTTATTTGCTTCCTTCTTCTGTTTTACCTAGACAAGACATGCGAAGTCTTGGTTGTTATAGTTGTTTAGGTAGATACCCAGGTTAGGTAGGTAGGTAGGTATGTACCTAGTAATGAAATTAATTATTTCCCTAGAAACAGCAGTAGACGCGCTGCGGCGCGTAGATGGAAATTGAGGGGTCCGATTGGAAATTGGAGAGTTCCAAGGTTCAGACTTGAGTAGTTGGGGTACCTCAGTACATAGGTACCTAGGTACATATATATAACCCCTCACTGTCCACTTTACACTAACGTCACTACCTATTGGCCTTGGGAGACAATACATGCAACTATCCAGGTTAGGTCTTTATCTACTATACCTCCTATGTAAGAGGTAGGTACCTGGTCAAGATATCCTTACAAATTCAAGAGCTCAGATACCTGTAACTGTTCAAGCCAACTCGGTATCTTAGAAGCCAACATAATTATAGCAGAATTCAGAAGCAAAATTCAGAAGCAGAATTCAGCATAGACAAACAACTCCCATAAAGCAAAATTCATATCGTGTTAACTCGGGGTGCATACGTCACCTTTAACTCTCTTAGCCCGCGACGTAACGGACAGTGATTCCAAAGTCCTATACTACTATACAGATCATAACGCTACCGTGAAATACGGTGCTACATTTCCATGGTCGACCCCTTATCCATCCTTACCATCATACATGCCCGGGCCGTGTTGTCTATACCCTTTGGTCCCTGTTCATCAGTCCTCCATGCTGTATGAAACGACGTGAAAACCCCTCTCCCCGTAACGCCTTTGTGGTGGTATCAAGAACTTCAAAATTGTGCGAAGGGTTTTATAACTCATGTATAGTGCATCATCATAAGAAGTAATCAGATGGCCCGCGTCGTCCCGCAGGAATATGCCTCATATCATCAGGCACAGCCGAGAATATGCTAAACTTGGGATCCAGGTTCTTATCAACTGACATGATAGAAGCCACATTTCCACAACGATAGCAGTAGTTTGGTGCTGACCAGACTGTAACAACCGAGTTTTGTGGGAAGTGATACTATTCCATTTGTTAGCATATATTCTGAAATCATGAACAGGTGGACAGAAAAGGCCTTACCTTGTAACCTTCGTTAACAAGCTGGTGGGCGCGGGCAATCAGTTTCAATCCATTGACATGGTTGAATTCCGTTGCTACCTTGTCACCAAAAAGCCATCCTGCGCCTCGCGGGCTGATAGCCCAAGTCTCGACTTCTTCAGGATCGCTCCAGACAAGATCACAGAACGCGCCCTCGTGCGGGATCTCCTGTGCTCGGGCCACCACGCGAATCTGGTCAATGGTGCGGATTTCGGGACTCAACCCTCCATGAACACAAAGTATTTCACCATCCACAATGGCTGCTAGAACCAGGAAATCAAAGACTTGACAGCAAGACTTCCAAACAGACGCGTTTCCGTATTTTTGTTGGCACTCTTCGTAAAACCCATATACCTGAGTGATCTGACGAGACTCATGGTTCCCGCGGACGAGGACGATTCGATCCGGATATCTGATACGTGTTAGAATAAAGATAGTGTAATATATACTACCTATGCAGGAACTTCTTACTTGGCTTTCAGACACATAAGTAGTGTAAAAGTCTCGAGACTAAAGTATCCTCGGTCCACAAAATCGCCCAAGAACACAAAACGGGTATCGGCATTTACAACTGGTGAGGCAGCGTCTGAGGAATTGCGCTGGCCAGAATCGTTGCCCTCTTCTTCCTCCTCTTCCACGTTGGTAGATTCGTCACTAGGCAGTCCCGGAACGTCTCCAGTCGTGGCTTTTGGCTTCTTTATCTTTTTCTTCAGCTTCGGATTTGTGATCTCTGTCGGAGGCTCGATATCGGCTGATGTGATGACAGAAGTAGAGGATGCAGGGGGTTCTGTCGCAGGTTGGCCTGGCATACCGCCACTGACGCGAAAAAGCTCGAGCAAATCGTAGAATTGTCCATGGATGTCACCACAGATGGTAACTGGGGTGATTACGGGTTGAATGTTTGATTCTAAAATCAACAGAAGTTAGATTGAATCGACCGTCTGCCTTCGAGTTCTTTAAACAAAAACGAGCATACCTTCCATCAAGACTTCCTTAACCATTTCGCAAAGCTCTTTCATGACTGGCTCTGGTAGATAACGACATTGTTTAGCTTGCTCGAGCCATTCGTCCAAGCCCGCACCAGGCGTCAGCTTTGCCGGTCCCGGTTTGGGGACCGCAACACGTGGAGAACCCATTGCCTTGTCGTGGATAGGATATGTATATACGCCTTTGGCACCTTGGCCTATAGATAGGATCGGCCTACTGCAAGCAATTTGGATACCTGTTGCTACAGGACCAATGACACCGAGCGCAAGAGCGCAATGAGAACGGTATACTATAAAAAGGCGCGCCGCAAAAGGATGCCGTAATATTAACTTATCGAATCGCTTTCAAAGCTGGAAATTCGATTTCAAGAACTAGATTGGAGTTGATACTTCCAGAGGAGAATTGGTTCGAGAATTGACAATTGTAATGTATTGTAATGTAAAAATTGCATAATATTCGAGGCAGAGTCAAGTTTGGCAATGCGTCACTAGGTTTGTCCAAGCTTGGGCCTGGTTGCGTCTCCCAAGTTGTTCCTTAGACTGTCTTTTGTCCGAGGCGCAGTCCCGTATTCGAAAGCAAGAAACTATGTCTTGGAGTACATTTTGGTGATAGGGAATTTGGTTGAGATGGGGGTCTTTCGCAGGGATCGGGCGCCGTCAACGTCCGAATCTCGAGGTTGAGCACCGTCCACCTGCACCTGCACCTGCACCCGCACCCTCGGCTGGGGCCGGCGTTACTGTTATCCCGGACTTTAGAGATGCCCAGGTGCCCTATCAGTAACTTATCAGTGCCTTATCAGTAAGTTAGATTAAGTCACGTGTGCAACTATTACCCCTTTCATGCTTGGTACCTACCTAAGTTTAGGTACCTAAAGGATTTGACCACCAAAGGGTATCGGTGTCGAGAAAGCAGACGCCGTACAACTGTAGTCGGCTGATAGGTAAGTTATCGTTAAGGTACTATGAACATGCCTACTCGTTACTCATAGATCAAGAGATTTTACATAGAATCGCCTTAGAAAGGTCGGGTTCCTCTTCTACTCTTATGATATGATACAACTAATAACGTCCGGAGGCAGAGATTAAATTTGTATTTAAGTAATTCTGACCACAGAATCGACGTAGCATTTCAACTTATAAGCTATCAATGCGGACTATCGTTTGTTCTTCTCCACTGTCAAACTCGGCAATAGCATCGCCCTATGCGTTTTCCGTGGTGAAGCGAAATTTCGTGAAGAACAGCTGCGAAAAGGAACGAATAGGGATATATAGGTACGTATAGAATACGAAGAATACGAAATATACGAAAAATAGACGGGAGAGATGCCCTATAACCTTGATCTACCCAATAGGAAAATAACACCGATGCATCGGACCAGGCTCCAGCAAAAGAGGGCATGAAGGGGGCTATGGAGGAATTTATCAGTACTTCTAAGTTCTAATTTATATATGAAATATCATGATGGGAACTAGCGGTTTCATTTTCTCTTTCATCTTCCCGTAATTGTCAGCATTATTTTATAGGTTATTTTAATTTTCACAGTATGCCGCGTCTCGCTATGAGGATAACCGCATGGTGCCACGCCAGTCCATTTCCGCGTATAAGTATTTACATACTGATATCGTACGAAAAATAATAATTTCGGGTTATCATAGCATAGCTATACAAATTAGACAAATATTTCACCAGTTTCTTTCGTGAGAAATAGCCTCAAGCCCTGATGATTCTAGCTCACTTCGTTATACTACTCAGCTTACTTGAGTACTGTTGGTTCTTAGAAGGATGAGCGGATCATATTTTCCAAGGCATCGCGGACTCTCCCAATCCGTCATATGAACAATGGCTGCAGTGGCCAAGCAAACGGATTAATAAACTCATTAAATTGCGAAGAACTTTAGATAAATGTGCCGAATATTGAGCTATTGAAATATTGCTGGAATTGCCAAGTCAAATCTATGGCGCTTTAACAGTTATTAAAGGGGTTTCCTAATTGCTACTGTACAGCCCCCAACTCCTTTCGGAATTACTCTTCGCTAATACACCCTATATTGTATAAGTGTCAACTACTAATGATTACCCCCTTAGGGTCATATCCTTGAGGATACCCTCCATTGACCATGGCTAAGCTTCAGCAAAAACACAGACTTCTAGGGCGATATTATGAAACCGCTGAATGGGTTAACCTCCGCAATTGTCCGAGAACGGATCATCACGTCGATGGAAGCTGCAGCAACGTACAATCATGGCATTGGATTCGTGATATATATTTAATCGGCGGTGGCTGCAGTGCTTGTCTCAGTAGGAGGAGGAGGAGGCATTGCGGAAGACCCAACAGCTTCATTTGTTGGGTTTGTACTACCTGCATTAGCTGCCCCTCCTCGACGACCTCTTCCGCGACCACCTCGCTTAGGTCGATCTGGTGGAATTTCAACACTCGTCTTGTCGCTCGCTGGTTGTGTTGGCGTTGGAGCTGACTTCTTAATCTCCTTTCTTTCCAGCACTTGCACAGTGCCTTGTGCAACAGGAATAGGGCTTGCAGAGATAGCCTTGACCAATGCATCATGATCCCTAAAGTCAACATATGCAAAGCCTTTCCGCTTGTCGATTTCGACAAATGTAACTGGCCCAAATGTTTCCATGGCCTGTTTAAGCAACGACTCAGTGACACCTTGCGAAGGGTTTGCGTGTTTCACAAAAGCACGTGTTGCTCCAACAGTCACTAATGGCTGACCAGAGGCCTTCTTCTGCGAGGGACCCGATTTATTAGACGATGCGGCCTTACTAGCAGCCTTAGGGCCAGTTGGGGGAGTTGAAGTTGAGGAGGCCTGGGTAGCTGGCGCTGTGGGGACTAAGCCACTTAAAGGGGCATCATCTTTCCTCTTAAGGATGACTGGCGTAGTAATAGGGGTAGGTTTTGCTGTGCTGCTTGCGTTATCAGTCCCCTTCCCCTTAGGTATGTCACCAGGCGCGTTTTGCTTAGTAGACTTTGAGCCTCGAGACCGGCGTGAGCCTTCAGCTGTTTGAGCCTTTGGAGCTGTCGGGGCGGATGGGGGTGCCGATGAGGAGGGCTGACTTGGCGCAGCTGGAGCGGCAGATACAGAATCCTTAGTGTCCTTCTCCTTACTAACATCTACCTTGGCAGCTGCTTCCGCCTTGGCAGCATCCTGACGAGCTCTTCTGTGGGCGCTTCCTGGGCTGAGACCAAGATCACGCTGCAGAATTTTAGCAGCAGCGGCAATATTAGCCCGCCGACTCTTAGGTACTATTTCTTCAGCTGCCTTGCTCGCACTAGCCTGAGCGGAGGTTGATTTAGCTGCCTCGGCTGAGTCTAGGGTGGTTGACTTCTTGGTGAGGAGCTTTACGGGCTCCTTAGCTTTCTTCTCCTCCTTATCAGCAGCCTTTTCAGCTTTCTCAGCCTTGGAGTCCTTTCCTTTTTTCTTAGAATCTTCCTGACCCCCTTTCGGTTTTCCACCCTGAGACTCATGCCGAGTGTGTTTACCGCTCTTGGCATTGCCGGTGTCCTTTCCTTTGTTGGCTTTCTTCTCTTTCAGGTATTCAACTAGAGGCGTGGTGGTTACTTTGGTGTCTGCCTTGCCTATATCATCGGCTTGATCGGCATCAACTTCCCTCACATTGGAATCCTGAGTGAGGCTGTCGAGGAAAGCCATAAAATCAGGATCTTGGTCGATTGTGCCTTGTTTAGAATCTGTACGTCTCTTCGTAGTAGGCACCTTCTGGTAGATAGAAAACTCTAGATATGGGGGCCCCACAAGGGCTGAATCGTTGAAAGTTCGTTTCTCATCTTCCCAAGTTGACCTTTGAACGGTCTCAGCTAATGCAGGTATATCTTCGAACCGAACCTGTAGATAGCATCGCGCTGGCGTGGATGGATTCGATGGACTAAATATGCAATAATAAGTAGATGTTTCTTCTTTATTATAGTTTCTTATATATGATCTGTAGTACTTACTCCTGAGATATTTGGCCCTCTTGAAATTTAGTCCACTCTACTTTCCCGTTTCCACTCTTCCACTCCTCTCCTAAGATAGCTCGGAATTCCCCCTCTGTTATACCTGGCGGGAGCCGGCGAACTAAGACTTTCTTGCCTCGAGGGGGGTCCTTGGCCTTGGTGGATTTCGGAGTCTCATTTGCTGTCGGAGTGGAAGAAACTGGCAAAACGCCATTAGATTTTCGCGCGGTTGGAATACCCATCATTGTATTGTGTATGCGATTATCGTCGCACTATCTTAGATTCGATCGGAATTCCTTCGTTTTTCATAACTCTAGTCGCGAGCTGCTGGTATTGTCTTTCGTATGGAATTGTAATTGGGATGAAGGTGGATAATGGGATGGATAGATGTGTTGCTCGTAATTTGTAGGCGCATTAAGTTTAATGGTGCGTAATGGGAAAGTCAATAAAATGCAACTTGAAAGGTAAGGCTGAATGAATTCTATCCCATTGACCCCACCATCTGTGATAGAGCCTGCAGGGGAAGTACCCACAATTTAGTGGGCAACGATAAGATCAAAGAATATACATCTAAGGTACCTAGGTACATAAGGTAGTAGGTACGGCACCTGCAGTCTTGGCAACCTTAGGTACATTATCGTGAACCTAGCAACATATGTAATGGAATCGAATCATTACATGTAGTAATAACGACATAGGATGATTGAGACTTGGACCACTTGGATATTATTAATACTCGAATTGAATTTGAAACTTTTTCAAATAAGGTCCCGTCGTAAGTAATGTCACTTATACATTTGATGATGACCACTTATCAACACACTTTGCTATTAATGTTGGCCTACTAGTACAGAATATGTTAATCAGGAATGATTAAAACCTCAAACTGGCAACTGTGATCCTTGATGGAACCGCTTTAACTTTGTATGTATAAGTGGTTTCTGGATTTAACGCTAAAGTCCGATGTCTTGCTCAAGTTACCGAAATAAATACGCCTTGGACGCCCAATCTTAGGTAGTATATCGGTTATTAGTCTACATTCGCCTACATTGGGTACACAATTCAGTTCCATGCCTTATATATGAACGCATGCACTTACGAACATTATGGCTCGCATCTTCATCACTGGATCATCAGATAACATCGGCCTCGGTATGCGCTCAGCACAAGCTCTAATTAAGCGTGGGCACGATGTCTATCTACATTCCCGAAATAGCCAAAGAGCGCAAGATGCTCGCACGGCCTGCCCCGGAGCCAAAGATGTCTTCGTCGCGGACTTAGCATCTATGAAAGAGATCAAAGCTTTGGCGAAACAACTTAACCAGACCGGTCCCTGGGACGCCATCGTCCACAACGCCGCACACCCGGGGCCTATGTTCGGCGTCGCTAATCCCAAAAACGAAGAGGGAATTTCTATCCTCTTTATCATCAACACACTGGCGCCATACATTTTGACCTCTCTGATAAACCCGCCACCAAAGCGTTACGTCTTTGTTTCTAGCGGTATGCACAAGGGGGGTGATCCCTCCTTACGCAATATCCAGGAGTGTAGTTATAGCGATAGCAAACTACACAATGTCTTATTGTCGTTCTGGTTCGCACGCCATCTCGCTAACAAGGGCGTTCTTAGCAACGCCATGAGCCCGGGATGGGTTGCTACCAAGATAGGCGGCTCGTCAGCACCAGACAATATTGACGCGGCCATCGATACCTACGTCTTACTGGCTGAGGGGTCAGGAGTTGCCGAAGGCGAGACGGGGAAATATTGGTATCAGACGCAAGCCCGGAGTTCTAGTGGCTCGGGTCATGAGACAAGCTACTTAAAAGCACTTGATGATGAAGCCCTGCAGGATCAGTTGATTCAAACCCTTGAGAAGATCTCGGGCGTTAAGCCGCCCGAGTAAGGTTGTTATTTAGCAATCAGTCTTTCTATATTGAATCTCAGCACGCGTTATCTAGCTTGATGCTTTATCGGTATTCCGGTGGGCTTTTTAATTTCGCGAATTTGTATAGAAATTATGTGACTACTGGATAAGAGAATGGCACTCCCCTGATTCCATTGGAGACCTATAACACCAAATGTATCGAGCTTATAGAATCCCTGCCTGGTGCGGAATAGGGAAATTGTCAGCGATAGAATGTTAGGACTGTATAAATATCCAGCGAGGATCTGGATAGAATGCTGTAACTAGTAATTCACACGGATATGCTTATCTTGGTAGCATCAAACTTACCGTTACCACCATGTGCTACTTCTCTCACCAGTGCGTTAAATGTATCTGGAATTTATGTCTAAGACGTAGTATAGCTACATCTAGGCTGCCTTTCAAAGACTTTATTTCGATTCCACTAAGACCGCTATGACACCTACCTACCCTTGGATCGAGGTGTGAGAATTTATATATGACACTGGCTAAAAGCTACATGGTCCATGGTATTCATTATATAGTTTTCCTTTAACATTTATATTGATAGCTTCTATCTAACAGAATGACCACTTTCTGGGCTTGGCATCTTAATGCTAAGGGGCTTAGAGATCTATTACAAGCATAAGCTCTAAGTCGTTTCTTGCGAGAGTACACCCTTAACCGGAATTTCTTGCTTGTTCCTATCCTCTCCGTTCGTAGCGATGCGAGTTCTTGTGTATATACCCGGGTGTGACATATTTCTTTTGTCAGGAGATATACTAGGTCTGTTCCGATACTCCAGTCGCCGCACGCGCCACAGACGCATATCGGGTGATTGAATATAAAAGTACATATGGACCTCTAGGTAGATATCCCCGGCACGCTCACTTGACTCAATCGAATTCTTCTTCATCGTCATGATCGGATGTAGCATAGTTGACTTGTATGAATTTTGGACAAGGGTGCCTTGATTACCAGAGGCAGCTTCTGGACCTAATGCCACAGATCGATAGTTAGTGAGTGATTTATCGATTTCAAGATGGGAAAATGCCCAATTATAGCATATCCCTATGCACCATTATCCATCAACACTAAACGGAGAGTCAACTGAAGACTATATGGATGCGATATAAACGCCAGGCCTGGCATATCATCGACAAGACGCACCTAAGATGTAGGGGACCCATGCTTCAATACATTCTGAGGTATATTCTTGTGTCGGGGCTGTCGATATATTCCCCTGAAATCAAGGCCCGAAGGTGCTCAACGTGCCATGCCATTGGAAATGCTGGGCGGAGTAAGACGAGACCAATTATAGAGATAAAGGCAGATATCGCTACTGAACAATGCTATATTGAAAAGTATATCCAAATAATTGCAGTTTAAAGATACGGGCTGAGACTGCGTCGATAGTAGCCGAAAGAACAAGTAAGGCAATCCACGTCGACAACCCTCTTAAGCTTAATTTTCCTGGGCAAGTCTACCAAGGCCTCACGAAACGACATGGCCGTGCGAGCATAAAGAATATGATTGTTCGCGAGACCAGCCTTCTTGAGATACTCAACGTATGGAACGAAGCCGAACTCATCTCTTGAAAGGCCAGTTAGTGCTTTGGAAGTAGGAGTAATAGGGACAAGAACGTCAGCCTGAGGAACTAGCACGATGAATAATTCTTCAAGCTCCGTCATAGATTCAAGTACTTCGCGTATAGGATCCGTCGGACCAAACGGGATGGCCCTATCAAATTCGCTCTGTGGCACGAGCACGGCCAACTTCCTCACACTGTCTCGCCAGGGAACGGAGCGCATCGACCAGAACGCTTGCTCAGCATTCGAGACACAGAGGTAGAGCATATCGCGGTCCCAGTCAACATAGACGGGGCGCGCTTGCGGCCGCGTGTCGTTGCACTCGTCAGGTACATTAGAAGCAAGTGTTAGAGCGAATTGGAGGGGCACGCGAGCTCGGCCTGAGGTAACGGAATCTGCAAGATCCTTGCCGAAAATAACGGGTGTCCAGATACGCTTGCACGAGAGGGCTATATCATAAGCCTCATGGTTGATCAAGGGAGACGGAGGTCGCTCATCGAGAATGACGAGATTGGTAGCCGAGTCTAGAACGGTGCAGCAGAATAGAAGAACCTCCTTCTTTGGATTTCGCATTTGACTCTCAGGAGAGGGATGGATCACGTGAATACGAGCACTTTCAAAGTGGTACTCCCAGATTAAAATACGGAGTTCTTTTGGGAGGGCATTGAAACATTCGAATGTATTGAGTGAAGTCATCGTGAGAGTATAATTGCGGTGTGTGTAGCGAAGGTTGGGAAGACGAAGATGTCGTCGTCAAAGAATTCTAGATTAGAGTGGAGTATTTGTCTAACCTAGGTACCTAAGGTTAGAGATCATGCGATAGGTAACAAAGACGGTAACATGTTTTTAATAATCATGTTAGTTAGGTACCTAGGTTAGGCAGTTACTATTAAAAACATGTTACCTAACTATTAGAAAGGCACATCTTGTCCCACCACAGAACAAGGAAATCTACCTAGAAGAGGTAGATTTTAATGCAGAATGAGTTGAATAGGTACATGTACCTTTTACTTTAAAAAGGAACTTTAAAGGAGAAACTTCCCATTATGCATACTCCCGTTGCGGGACTTCAAATTCTACATGTATGCCATGGCGCTAGGTTGTTACTTTCAAGTACCTGAAGGCGGGAAATAGGTGTGGAGTAATACGTAGGTACCTTAGGTACTTATCATGTGGGGAAGCTTACCTGATTCCAATTACATAAGCTGAGCACCAACTGGCTGACTACCTTCTAGGTGAAGAAAGAGTAATGCGCCTTAGGTACTGCGTTAAGAGGTCCACAAGACAGGTAATAATAATGTTCTCAATCAACTCCCATAAACTTCTCTGAAAGTTGCACAAAAATGAGATTTACATGAACTATTCTCAAAATATATCTCAATTCAGGGTAAAAAGTAAATCTACCGGTTAGATAATCTCCACCGTCCCCATTGGCCTGCCCCGAAAGTATTTCAAGCCGCCGCGTTCCCGAGGCACGGATAGAAATACGCCAACGCGAAAATACTTCCCTGGCTGAGGAGCAGGTTGGACGATAATACCGTAGGCGTACCTTTCACTGTCATCGCTGGGCTGTGACAGTTTCCTATGTCCATGATAAACCTCTGACACATGTCGCTGATATTCCATTTCCGCGCCAACAATTTTACCATCCATATTACCTGCGGTATGATCTTGACGTCGATCGCAGATTGACCGGTCTTGCATCATCCCTCTTTTATCATCACTACGGTCACGATGATAATGAGCTCTGTGAATGATTCGCTCTCTACGCAGATTCGCAGCATTGGGGCGTCCCCTAACGACGAACGTGGCCATGGTAGTAAGCGTGGCCGTGGCAGTAAGCGTTGCCATGGTAGTATCTATATCTTCACCCAGCTTCTCTTCCGGCTCGTCGACCAGTTCATGCTCGTATATGAGTTTAATTGGTTCCCAAGAGAGACCTTCGATGTTGCGACTTCCAATCAGCACTAAAGATAAGTCTTCAAAAGTCTCCCCGCCATTAATATCATTCCAATCGAAGCTGAGCTCGGCAATGTACTCTCCATCTTCGACTAGTCGGCATAATTTGCTGTTCCCATCTATACCTACGAGTAGCTGTACATGAGCTATGAGAGGCACGACAGTCCCGTGAAGAGCGAGGTCTCCGGTTTCTATGTTGCCGAATAAATCCACGCCCATGATTGATGTTTTCGCATGGACGACACAACATTCTGCTCGAACATCGAGAAAATCTGACTCCTGCGAAGCTATTCTAAGCTGCCCATCACCAAACCTCACTGGGTGGTTTCGGCTAGCCCAGCTCCAAGATGGCGCAACATAAGGGTTCTGGGACTTCAGGTTCTCAACCAGCGCTTCTCTTGAGATAAGAGCAGCAGGTTGACGAAGTACAGATGTCCAAAACAAGTCGATATGGGGGAGCACATGTCCTGCGTAATATGCACCTCCACTGAATAATCGACTAGCAAGTCCCGATATCGCGGGAAACTTGTCGGAACGATGGGTAAGCTTCATTGTTGAATAATTCTCGACTAAGAATAAGAAGCTCAGGTATTTGTTCAATTCGTTGCGGTTGCCTGAGAGAAAACTAATTCCACGGGTGCATTCTGACATATCTACAGTCTCGCTTGCTTCTGATTGAATGCCATGTTCCGTAATAGCATGTAACTTGGTCTTGGTAAAGATGAGTGCTCGCTGTGATAACTCATATTCCTGAAGTATCCACCCTCTCATAGCCCAATGACTGTAAGTTAGGGCGAGAGATAGTCCATCAGCAGTCGCATGAAAGTAATCGTTCATCTCGCCGACGAGCCGGATAGTGTAGGATCCGGATACAGCCTCGTTTACTCTAGACTGGAATTTTATTCTCGTCATTGTCCAGTCCCTACTAAGGAATCCTTCCTGGCAAGACGTCGAAGCGGGAGTACAAATTGTCAAGGTGGCATTCTGGAATATTAGGGAAATCTGCGAAGATTCCCTATACCAATCCTGTTTATCGTCTTGGATAATACAGACCGCATCCACCCAAAGATACCGTATTCCCAGAGTCTGCGTAACTCGAATAGCGTCTTGCAGGATCGGGGAAGCTTGGTCAAAGCTAAACCCGCCTATTCTTTCTTGCAATGACCTTGTTTCCGTCTTGAACTGCCGAGAAGACTGTTCCGGGGACCCCCAGCAATAGCTTAGAGTTGCATATTGGATATCAGATGATTGCATGAATATGGGGTCTGATTTTGTCTCGACAAGTCGACATGAGTCTGTTCCCTTTACCCCAACATCAATTAAACGGGTTGGATACATCGCTCCATTCAGTAATGACCGTATAGGGTTGCTGCGTTTGAATCTATTGAAAATCATTTTAAGATTATCAGTGCATAAAGCTTTATCCCAGGGGGGTGACTGAAGTCCCAGCCATTGAGCACAAGGGCCTATAACAGGGCAAGTTAATATCTTAGGTTATGTATTTGCATCTGATGAGTGTCTGGTTGTATTGCTTATTAATATAGATTCCTTCGCGGCTGGCCTCGTTTTCCAATCCCGATTTGACCTACGGCTTAAAGAAAAGGATCAGATATTGAACGAGATAGAATCCTTACTAGGAGGAGAGTCAATATCAAAACGTAGCCACGTCGAAACGCTCGAATGATCACCTAGAGATCCTTAGCTCAATACCTGGATAATCTGGAATTTTAGTATGCTCGTACCCCCCTCATCATGTCCAATCCATAACAACTCAGCGACTAAAGACTGAAGCCTCATCACCAGTCTACCTTCATCAGGCCTGTGCCACTGGTAAAAAATGGACACCAATACCTGATCGAAGCAGTCTTGCGCATATCTCTGGATGGCATTTTTCAGTATCGAGCAGAAGTCACAGCCGTCATAGGCGGACTCGGCGAGGCACGATAAATCAGGTAGCGAATCTAGGAGAAAATAATCCAGTTTAAGACGAAAGAAGCTGGGATGCTCCTCGAACGCTCTCAATAAATCCGAGTCGTGGAATTCTAGAACGCTACACCTTTGGCATAGATAGGCGAGTGGCGGCAGCGTGGTGGCCATTTTGAGGCATGGCAATCCAAACTGTGTAATTGTACGACAACCAGGGGCGTAGGTATTATCAATGACGCCGGGAGTTGGGTAACTGGTAAGCTTAGTGCTACGTCGCATGTGGATTATGAAGTTACCCATCACCCATCATCTAACCATAATAGGAATAAATAGGATCTTGAGATCACCTCTGCTTAGGTATTATATTTTTGTAAGCCAATTGCTTCATGTAGTACTAAGCTACTCCCTCAATCAATATCACTCAAGCTAAGCCATACCTACATGTCTATAATAGCTCATATATTGTAAATTCTCTAGTTTAATATGCTCTAATTTCAGAGAAAACGTTATCCTGGATGATATAGTCGAAGCATGTAAGGCGACAGACTGATAGTGACTTGAAAGGACATCCTCTACCGGTACCTTACGCGCAGGTGTGGTGTATTATCTCCTGCATCGTAACCTGTCTGATAGATTAAATTTATATAGGTACATAGGTATATATATTAGGTAGCTACATTGGAACTTCTCACCGGTAATTAAGTACAATTAAGCATACGACAATAGTACACAGCTGGAATACTATACATATACACCAATAGATACCGATATCCTTTGCCCTAACATACAAAACAAGTCTAATATAATTAAGCAATTAAATCCCTTAAACATTCCCAAGTTGAAGCAAAACGCCAACGTAATACACATGCTGCAGACAACAAATTAGATGCAGACGCTTACGGCGAGTGAGAACCTAGGTGATGTCCTCTTCCATCGCCTTCTTCGTGACCAACAGCCATAGACATGCTTTTGCATTGCCAAGAGACAACTATTCACCAATATCACAACATATAGAGCGCGATCCCGATAGGCTATTATAGTTGCATATATACACTTTGCCTCGGTACTGCTATGTCGTGTAATTGCTCTCGAAGTTGAAGAACTAGAGCATGAGGCGTTCCTCGAAGCCCGCGACGCCAAGGTATCGTGTCTGGACGACCAAGATCCGCCCTTTCTCGCCTGCATCCATAGATATGATGGTATATATCGGCCGCATCCTGCGGGCGCATGATACATCATACCCACGATTACCTGGTATCTGGATACTCGGGTCGGTGATAGAGTTGGTGATATTGACGCCTTCTGAGAAACCATGCTCGAGGCGCGAATCAACTCGCAGATAAACGGCGCCGTTGCACAACTGCGATAGGACCAGACGTATGATTCGAGGATCGGTTCCGAAAGAGGGCATAACTGTGGCCCAGGCATTCTCGTATGCTTAAGATAGCCTCGCACCTTAAGATCGTACGACTTGATACACACACTAGCTCGTGTTGATTATGATAGATATTTTCCGTGTGGTATTTGGTGATATGTTGACGTGTTGGTCACGCATTGGTGCCGAAGACACAAAGAACGTTGATTGTGACAAGGCCCCACATCCAGAAGACTTCCCGTCGGTGACGTGCAGACCACTGCTGGAGCTGGTAGTTGGAATTGATTCGGCAGGGAGACTTGAGATGAAAGGTAATACAGATCGAGTAATACGAAACAACTTTGAGCAGACTTAGCATGGCGGAATGGGATCCAAACCGTGCTCAGTTACAAGAGTAAGGCATGTGACATTAGTTTAGCAACGGAAACGGCTTCGGCTTGAGCGAAAGGTGTAACCGTAGCGCTGTCAACATACCCGGGCGATACCAACGAAGATTTGGTATTACAAGATAATGTCTCGTGCCATTGAAAGATCCTACCGAGTGGCGTCGTGGCTATGGATCATGGGTTTGGCGTAGAAGGAAACAGGTGTCCATGTCCGTGCCGGGAAGGATACTTGCATATGCCCGCGCCTGGCTACGCCGGTATCACATTTGTTTGGGCATTAGTTGTCACTCGATATGTGGCAGTGACTTCAACCCCTTCGACGACCGCGCTGATCGTGTAAGGGGTATGGTATGTAGTTTCCTGTCTGCGGAACACCTTGATACGATGAAGGCGTAGCTGGTTGGGAAGTTCGAGGAATGCTAGAGTGCAATGCAGGGCCGGCAGAACCAGATGGAATGTCCATTGGGCCAGTAGTGTAGTTGCTTTGATACCTTTCGGATAGGCTTGGAGATCCAGGCATCTTTTCGATATATGGCTTCTTGCTGCTAGAACGGCCGCCTGGCCTTACGCTGACACTTGAATTCCGACGGTGATGGCGTGATGAATTGGCCTTTTCTTCCTTATGCTCTGTGGTTTTTCTGATGGAACCTATCGCATCTCTGTGTTTGCTTCCTGATCGTCTTAGTGTAGGCTGTGAGGGTTCACCAGAGCCGCCTCTCATGGTACTGTCTATGACAGGATCCACTAGGGCGAGATACTTCTGCCGATAATTATCGCGCTGGTGTTCCATATCATCGCAATCGTCTTCAAGCTTCATAACCTGTTCTGACAGTCGCACTCTCTCATCTTCGAGGTTCTTGTTGAGCCGTTCTAGTCTCGTAGTACGCTCGCATTCTTCACGGTAACGCTTTTCCGCGTCCCGAGTGAGTCTATGGGCTTTGGTTAACTCGGCGTCTTGTTCGTTACACTTCTTTTGAAGTTGTTCGACTTTCTGGTTCGCTTGACCTAATGCTTCTTGAAGAGCACCGACGTTGTAGAGTTGGTCTTCGTAGTCCTCAGCTGTAAATCTACGATCAGGTCTTCCACCTAAACTAGCCTGTTCACTAGATGACGAACCCACACCTGAGTCATCACGACTGCGGTGGCTTTTAGACGACCCCTTTGATGAGGTCGAAAACTTGACATGTCTGTCTGACATTTTGTCGTACAGGCTGCCGCTAAGAACTGCAAGCTCTTTATAGGTACCTACGTGACGGTTCACACTAGGGCGACGGCGCGAGAGGGTACCCGACGAATGGGAATAGTCGAAATATCAAAGCGAGCGGGGTGGTAGATGGGGAGGTTGTTGAGTCACTGGGATAATGACGAAGGTCTTGACGAGTATATAAATCTGCAAAGATTTCTCTAATATAAGAGGGACTAAGTAATGATAAGATTGCCTTACGGAGAGATGCAAGAAAAATTAAGCAGAGGAAAGGGTAATTGTTATAAAAGGCGACCTAGAAACTATGATTCGCAAATAACCAGTTGCTGCCTTGAGTCTTGAGAGAATCTTTATGTACGTACATAACACTTACACCACGAGACTAATAGCAACTCTGAGCACGGCAGATATGGGCAGGTATCTGTACTAAATGGCATGTAACTGACCGGTTGCCTCTCACATGGAGCTATGGCTCCAGGCAACACGGAGCCCTGACCTACCTATATCATCCTTCCTGACGGATGAGCCTCATAATAACTCAAGGATCGTCTTACCCGAGAAATCCAAGGGTAGCCGAAGGTGGGAGTGCGCCACGGCGGAAACACTCGTTTTCTCACACTCACCGTTAATTGAGAAAAGATGCCTTGCTGACTACCCGTCCCCCCCCATGGCGCGCCACGCAACGCGCAGCGCGCAATGAGATGGGAACGGGGGAGTGCAGACGAAAAGAAACAAAAAGAGAGATCCAGAAGAGTCTAGCACTATTAGACGGTATCTTGTACTTCCCTCCTTGGGATGAGTTGGAAATAAGACTTGCCAACTTTACACCGAAAATCGAATAAGTTGTCGTATCCGCCTAATTTTCCAGCCCCCAAAACGGTTCGCCTGAAGCGCGATCTAGGTCGCAACCGATATGTAGGTGAGTTAAGATGGCGCAAGGGTTAGGAAGGTCCTTCTCATCTGCGATCTTGATTTTTTTTTTTTTTTTGGTGGTGGTTCTGCGCAACTGCGTAGAGTAAGATTGTGCTCGCGCAGGCGTGCAGAATGCCCGCAGAAATGCCTAGCCAGTCATATTGGCATATTGGTCGAATCAGTCAAAACTGACGGCATTGCCTGCAGGTTGGTAAGGTCCCTCGAATAACATCTGAAAGCGAGACCAGACGAGAACGGCATATAGATCCGTTAGGAACAAGAGACAGAAAGCATGATGACTCACATACAGGCTGCATATATGACGTCTATATTAACGATATTTTACTTATTGCTGATCTTCTGTTCGTCATTGATGGGCATTGGCATGTTCCTTGTCTGAGAAATGGGAGATGGGAAAATAGCTGTTTCCCGGCAGGGCTGAAAAGGAAGGGGACCACGAACTCTTCTTAGTGCTTGGAATTGGGAGGTAGGTACCTACCTAGGTTAGGTCCATAGGTAGCTTGAAAAAGGTACCACGGTACAGATTACAAGATTGAGATAATAAGGAAAGTCTAATATCTGCCTACGTTGAATCTAATTCGTCAGAGACAAAGATGTGGAAAAACTGCGGGGTTGCTCTACATATGTACAATGCACACTTAAACCTAAAGGGGTAGGTATGTGTCGGTACGTACTTTGATTAGTCACCATATCTATTCCGTACCTAACTTTAGTCTAACTTTAGTAATCTCTACCATGGTACCATATCACAAACACCGCCACTGCGGCTGCCTTTTATTAGCAAGTTATCATCAAGGAAAACGTTCCTCAAAGGTCCAGAGCCAGATTCAGCTAACATGCCACTCCACTCCATCCACAACCGACTTTTGATATCGGACCCCCGATGGCCTCCCCCGCGATTCATGATCATTAGAGGATTCTTCTACACACCCTCAGTATGTCTAAGTAAGCGGTGAACCCTGTTGCATCCCCTCATCTAGGCTTGCGGGTATGAGTTGGCACTTCGACCATGCACAGCCGACGTTCATTACATATCAAACTAGGCAACCCCGGGGATAATACGAAAATTCCCGGGTTTAGGCCTCCGAAGTGAAATCTTCCAGTTTGCCGAAGGTTGAGAAGGTTGAGAAGGGCAAAGGAAAATGAAAGTGCACTTTTTCAAGGACAACCGAACAACCAAACAATCAAACACGAACAAATCCGGTGACACCGATTGCTGAGCTGTCAACCATTAATGAATGGTATTGGTATTACGTACACGCCACTCGGGTCCTACGGTTCGTGAGCAATGAGCCTGAATTGGAAGATGGCGATAAGAAATCAGTTGTATACATACATATTCGGGTCTCAGTGGGATGTAGCTCAGTCGATAGCTCAGTCGAGTGCCAAAAATATCTCTAGCTATCTACTGTTTT